TGCCATGTATCACCATGGCCAAAGAGAAGAAAAGAGTTAGAACTCAGAATGTCCTAAATCAGCTTTATTTCCATCCAGTTTCCAAATGGAAGAACAAGCTGCAATGCAGAAAAGTCTGAAGTGTTGTTCAACTGAGCCTTGGCACAGAAGTAATACTTAAGGCTGCAAAAAGAAAATGAGGAAGTGAGTGTTCTACTCATTCTTAACTGATTTCAGAGGGGAGGGAGGTAGGGAGGGAGAGCTTTTGGACAAAAAAATTGCAAATTTGAGACAGGACACGAAGGAGTATATCTGTCTGAATAATCAAGGTTTCACCTTAATAACATTCCCTTCCACAAATACTGGGACCTGAAAGGAAAGGCTTCCTAGGGGTTTCCTAATTTTTCTCTCTCCCTCAAATAGAGGAATTAATATCCTGGACTGGAGGTGAGAACAGGCTGATATAACTGAGGGAAGAAATGTCCACTTCAATTTATGTCTCAAATGATTTAAAGCTTGGGAATGTTGGGAGAGGGAGTCATTAATATTAATCTGGAAATACAGGAATAGCAAAGGCTAATTTTGGAAAGAGGAGGAAGCAAGACACATAACAAGCAAGATGAAGAGTTTGAGGAAAGAAATGCATATTAAGCAGAGAACAGATAAAAAAGCAGCTTCATCTTTGTAGTAGGAAGGGGCGCCATTTTTAAAAGAATACTTTAAAGAATTGCCATTGTGTTCGATTTACTGTTACAATCATTTTTCACCAATATGTTTGTAGTTACGGGCCAACACAACTTGGGGTCACTAGGTTGATAAGTGTTTTCTTCGTCTGTGAATATTGGGGCAATTGGTGTCTTCCAATTCCATTAATCGGTTGCCCTCTTGAGAACTAAATGAGATTAAGATTAAAGTATTCCTAATTAAAATGAACACAAGTATAGGACACCACAAAAATATCCAAGGAGCAAAAATAATGCATCTTAATTCAAATTAAAATGTGTCCTTTACATACTCATCCCTGATTATTCATTACAAGATCTATAGGCATCTTTACTAATAGAGTAGCTCTCTCCCCCCAGTTATAAAATGAGCCACATATTTGACAAAGACATTCTAGAATCCACCGGTCAGAATCCCTTGTTACAGAAAATTAGTAAAATGTGCTAGAGAAGACCCAATAGATCTGTTTTTAGTACTGTGAGTATTGAATTCTACCTAAGGAAATTCTTGTTTAGCAGAATTGTATCTTTAGGCTTATTTCGAAACACTTGAAGAAACACAGAATTAAATGGTGTGATGATAGCAAATGGGATCCAACTGTCAATAAAGGCAATACTCTGTGCACATCGAAAGAAACCATTTTAGCAGCATGAGATTTCATCTACACAGAACTACAGGTAGTCCTCAACTTAGAACAGTTTATTTAGTGACCGTTCAAAGTTACAATGGCACTGAAAAAAGTGACTTATGACCATTTTTCACAGTTACAACCTGTATAGCATCCCCTTGATCACGTGATCAAAATTCAGATGCTAGTAACTGGTTCATACTTACGACCATTGCTGGGTCCTAGGGTCATGTGATCCCATTTTGCGACCTTCTGTCAAGCACTCAATGGGCAAGCCGGATTCATTTACCAACCAGGTTACTAACTTAACAACTGCAGTGATTCACTCAACAACTGTGGCAAGAAAGGTTGTAAAATGGGGCAAAAATCACTTAACAAATATCTCACTTAACAATAGAAATTGTGGGCTCAATTGTGGTCATAAGTCAAGGACTACCTGTACAGAGAGGACTCACCAATATGCAATCAATGAAATATCTCGGTAACACAGAAGAAAGCAAATACTTATTTTACGAATGATTTATTCTATATAAAGGCTATTACCTTTATGTAATTTAACTTAACTGTTTAATATCAACATCTGGAACTATTTTTCACTCCAGAGACATGAAACAATAAAAGCAGTGTATTTTTGTATCTATTTCCAATACATTTACTATCATTATTCCTCTTATTCCTGTTAATACAATATAATATCTGAAAGAAAGAAACTGACTTAACCAGCTGGTTGGGAAATTTTGAAATGACAGACATCCAGCTCTTGCATAACTTATTCTTAACTTTTTCCTCGCTCACACCTTTGCATAGGAGTGGCTGCAAATGTCTTGGCATTCTGGGAATTCACTGCAGGCAATTTTTTTTAAAAATGTTCCTAAATACACTTTGAAAAGAAGCACAGTATAAAGCTTTCAGTGTACCGTGTTCCCCCGAAAATAAGACCCTGTCCTATATTTTTTTGAATCCCAAAATAAGCACTTGGCCTTATTTTCAGGGAGATCTTATTATTTTGGGGTGCGTGGAGCAAGATGGGGCTCTTCTTGCCATCTTATCTGATTTCCAGCTCTGCATTTAAATATTTTCGGGGAGGGCTTATTTTCGGGGGGAGGCTTATTTTAGCGCATGCACTTAAAAGCCTGATTAGGCTTATTATCAGGGGATGCCTTATTTTCGGGGAAACAGGGTACTGCTTTATTTGTTAACTAGAATATATGGAATTGAGTGTCAAATATAGACAATACAGATAGTCCTCGACTTATGAACACAATTGAGCCTAACATTTCCATTGCTAACCAGAACAGTTGTTAAGTGAGTTTTGTCTCATTTTATAACTTTCCTTGACACAGGTGTTAAGTGATTCAATGCAGTTGTTAAATTAGTAACACGGTTGTTAAGTGAACACTTCTGCATTAACTTTGCTTGTCAGAAAAGGAGATATCACATGATCCTGGCACACTGCAGCCATCAAATACAAACCAGTTGCCAAGCATCCAAATATTTTGATCATGTTACCATGGGGAGATACTGCAATAGTCATAAGAGTGAAAAATGGTCATAAGCCACTTTTTTCACTGCTGTTGTAACTTTGAACAGTCACTAAAGGAATGGTTGCAAGTGGAAGACTATACGTAAAGGCTAAGGACTTTTTTTTTTTTTTGAAAGCCCTGATATTTTCCCCACTCCATGGGCTCATTTAACATAAACCTAAGCAATTTGATATAGATGGTTCAGGTACTTTTTAAAGATAATAGCTAAATATGTCTAAAAAAATTACTGTGTATAAATAAATGCACAAACTCCACTGATACAGGACCTCCTCTAGCCAACAGTGAAGGCTGACAGACTGTACCTGTTGCCTGATTTTTGGAGAGGTTCAACAAAAGCACGGAAACAGAAGATGTTTCTCTTGCTCCTTTCGTTTTTCTGAATGGCACAGCAGACATTTGGCACACCAGTGTATTGCCTGGAGGAAAAATTCAGGTCTGCAGATGAGAAGGCTGTTTCCATGCTGAACGTGCATGTTGAATAATCAAAGGAAAGATTGAGTAGCAAAAGATTATTATATTCTTTCTTAGGCCTTGGAACAGTGCAAAAGTTCAGTAAGAACTAAAGGCAACAATTGGTCTCTCTTCTTTAGTACACTCCATCCACACTCCCAAAAACAGTGAAAGGAAGCAATAGCTGCTTCTTGCCTCCATGTTGTACTTTTCCTGTCTTCCAAGGAGTAATGGTTCACCTGTTTTCTCCTTTACAAAGGACTATATTCTTGCACTTCCTGTTTCAATTCTCTCATTGGTTGATATGTAAATCTAGACTATTTTGGCTCAGTTCTCATTAGGATGCCATGGAGAGGGGAGAGCACCAGCAAGTGAGTGAATGAGATGGTTTCTCATCTGTTGATCCATTTTCTAACCCAGCCACCCCCAATGGAGTAAACTCAGGGTTGAAATCCAGCAGGTTCTGACAGGTTCTGGAGATCCATTAGCGGAAATTTTGAGTAGTTTGGAGAACCAGCGAATATCACCTCTGGCTGGTCCCAGAGTGGGGAGGGAATGGAGATTTTGCAGTATCCTTCCCCTGGAGTAGGGTAGAAATGGGGATTTTGCACGCTCCTGCCACGCCCATCAAGCCACACCACACCCACCAAGCCATGCCCACAGAACCAGTAGTAAAAAAATTTGAATTTAACCACTGAGTAAGATGAACTGTTTGTACTCATGTCTCAGGTTACCAATGTGGGCCCTATGATCTGACTATCTTCCCAGAGAGAATAAGCAAGATGGTGCCTTTTCTTGCTTTCTTGCATCTTAACGAAGTGGGACAGAAGCCAAAGGGATGCTAGCAGCTGCCTATCTGGGAAGCCTGCCCTAGAGACCTTCTTCCAGGTACCTTAAGTTATGTTGAAAAAGAAAAAAACAAAACGAAAGAGAGCTAATTTTCCTGTTAGATCACTTCTCATGTCAGATTTTTTTTTCTCCCTTCAGAGTCTTGTATCTTGTTTTCAGTTTAAGGGTCTACTGAACAGAACGCTCACGTTTATTATCGAGTTAATAAACCTAATAAAACAAATCCACAAAGTCCATGCCGAGCCACATCGGTATTAAAAGTAACCTACAATCAGCCTGTTGTTTTTGTAGTGGCAGACTAACACGGCTATCTTTCTGGAAAGTTTTAAACATAAGCCAAGGTCCTGCGGGTCACGCAGGCGGTGGACTGTGACAACCAATGTTAATTCCCCAAACTTTTCTGCCAGACTTGCAGGCGGAAAGCTCGACTTTTGAAATTGCCACGTTCCCGCGGAAGTCCTGGAAGCGCCCGTTGCCCGGTTTGAACAGGTTACTTGCCCAAAGCTGGCTCTTTTCCGCCCCTTCCCTAATCGGCCCGAAAGGCTCTTAAGCAAATGAAGACAGCTGCGTCCTTCGTCCGACGAGGAAGTGTTGCTCAGCTGAGCCTCGGCGCTGAGGAAATAGTTGGGGCTGCGAAGGAGAAAATGAGGAAGCGAGCGCTCCACTCATCCTGAACCGAACCTGAGCTTCAGCAGAAGCGCCCAGCGGGCGTGGGCAGAAAAGAGCCGAGGCGTCGGGGGAGAAGCGCGCCGATTTGGGAGCTGAAGCTGGAACGGGGGGTGGGGTGGGGGGTGGGCGAAAGCTCGCCGCCGAGATCCTGAAGGCGCAAACCGACGAGGATTTCACTTGCGAGCGCGTCTCTCCGCAAATTCCCTCCCGCAGAGGCAGGGGCTGGTGAGGAGAGGCCCCTGTCGGAGGTTCCCACCACCCGTCGGTTTCTCAAGTAAGAGGCGTTTCTTCCCGAATTTCGAGAGATGGTGTGCGTGTGCGTGAGAGAGAGAGAGAGAGAGAGAAAGGGGGTTCCGGATTCCCCTTTTTTAATGTCAGCCAGGATTTGGAGTTGGGTAACTGCGGGAGACGGACGGAGGAGGAGGAGGAGGAGGAGGAAACCCGAGGTCCGACTTAAGGTTTCCCTACTCCTTTCAAGTTTGGGGAGCTGAGAGTAACCTGGAGGACAATGCCCTCCAAAGCGAGAAATATACCGAAAAGGTCGCTTGGAAGGCGGGGCGTGGGGATGCGAGGTCAAGCTCAGCAGAAGCAAGGCAGGGAATGAGTCATTTCGGGGAAAGAGGCGTCTCCAGTGTGAAAAGAGGATGAAAAAAAAAGCAGGTCCCTCGGGGGGAACTCCTTGAAAAAAAAAAAAACCTCCTTGAAAAATCGCGCCTGCGTTAGGTTACAGTTCTCGCCTTCTCTCGCAAAATGGTTGGCCCAATGCAACTGGACGAAACGGGTCCAAATGGTTGGTGGTTATGGTCCAACGAAACTGGAGTTTCACTAGGTTGTGACAGGCTGATGTGTCTATGGATAGTTGTGGATAATAGTTACCTGGATGCACAGATAAACATAGTAGGTTTTTTTTTTCTGGAAGATTTTTTTTTTTTGTTCCATACAAGCATTGACAGAACTGAAGTGAAAGCTGCCTTGCTCCTGAAGTCAACTCAAAATCGCTTTTCTTTGTGAAGGATTTCATAATATACAGACTACAAGTGGAAGTTTTTGTTTTGTTTTGTTTTTTGGGTCAGGCACAATTTTGTTTTGCGTTGTTGTTTTTCTTGTCTCGGTATATTAGCGCGCAGATCCATTTGACAAAAGTTGCCCTTATAGGCGCGATTTTATCTGTTTGGCGGATGAATCTTAACAAACATAGTGAGGAGTGCTTCAAAAAAAAAAAGTAAAAATGCCTTCTGGGCTACACCAAGATAGGGAAGTAAAAGAGGCTGTTTTACAATAAGTGCAGAAATAGGGTGGCTTGATGCAGATGGCAGGAGGGGAAACCAGGAATCAGAATAATGTGTACAGAATTGTTGATCATAAGCCATCTGCCTACAGGAGGAGAGAATGAAATGGGATTGGAAATTAAGATCCTTCATGAACAACTTAGCAGGTTTCATTTGCTTTTGTCTCATGCTTGATTAGTAGGGTTGTTTAACTTCTTAGGATGTGTTTTGGGTGTTTTGTGCCAGTGAGTCAGTGTTGACTCCTGGTAACTGCCTGGATCAGTCCCTGCAATTTTCTTTGCCACTGCCGCCTCCTTAGAATTCCCAGTTTCTAGCCTGATGTCTTAACTACTACACCAGACTGGCTCTCATATCAACTTAGGACAAAGTAACCTTCAATTTCTATTGCAGTCTGTACATCGCTATTACTTAAGAACAGTTCTTTGGGATCTTTGTTTTTCCTTGTTTTATCCCCTTAGAATTATTCTACAGAGAAACACCCTCAAGACTTTGAATGGGTACTATTGACAAATTCTGAATGTGTGAAACTGTAGGCTAAGTTACAGGTTAGTTCACTTTTGAATAACTCAGAAATCTGTAGGCCCTGCCAGAGTAGGATTCAAGACAGAGTTGCCATCTTTGCAGTGAGGGCAAATCTTCTCCCTTTTCTGTAAACTGCCCCCTTTCCCTCTGCAATTGGTGGGCAGTATGTCACCACTGGACCTAAACAAAGATTGCAAATTCTTCAATTTAGCTGCTGCAGTTGAGAGCAGTGGTGGTCTTTTCCAAGGGCAGGCAAGTAAGAAAAGAATGAAACAGATATGGTAAGGGAGGCTAGGTAGAAAGAATATTATGGTGGGATGTGGTGGCAGGTTTTGTGGATGTTACTAATGAAAATAGTGACTTTATGCAATGCATTCCAAGCCAATACATTGTATCCTTTTGTCCATGCGGGAAAAAAACTGGGGTTTTGGTCTCTTGGACAGATGGAGGAGAAATAGAAATACAGAGCCCCATGGCTGGATGGAGGCCTTAGCCCTGGGGTGATGGGCCATTTATTGATTCATTTACTGATATTTGCCCATCTCATATAACTCTGGAGAGCTCACAACGATGAAAAAGGCAGAACTAAAAACAATAAAAATACAGTATAAAACCACATAAAAGCATATAAGAGCATATTTTATGCATTAAAAATATTAAATAAAATCAGCAGTATTCCAGAAACACTTCAGCAAAATTCAGTATAGCCATTGGCAGGTTCTGCCACACATCTGGATCCCCAAGTGCAGAGGCAAAGCCGCTTCTTCAAAGCCTTGCAATCTAATCTCTGGGGGGATGGTAGTCCAAAGACCAGGTACCACAATAAAGAAGTTCTCTTCCTGGGCCTGAACAGATGGCACATATTAGTAGATGAGACCTGGAGCATGGCTCTCCTCCTGGGCGAAATGAAATAGACACAGTACAACTAGGGAGAGGTGATTCATCCATTAATCTGATTTAACTGTAATACCACAGGTTGCTGACCTTTCTTGGAGTTTATCTTGGGGAAAGACTGATTGAATCATTAAGGGAGAAAAAATTACAACAGTCCTGAGAAAGTGTGAGAAAGTAATTCAAAATAACCCTGCCTTACCATAGGTAACCAGGCAACGTGAATGCAGACCATAAATAACCAGGGCTGTTGATTACATGCAAAGATTTCAATTACTTCAGCCCGTGTAATGAACGTGTTATGGGCGATTCTTTTCTATTCTTTAATATATCCTTTAAACCTTATGTATTTAAATTCATTAAACAACCCTGTTGACACATACAATTTTGCTGCAAAGCTACAAATGTGTACATTTTTTTCCTCAAACTCATTTTACTGAATTAGTAAATTCTACGTAAAGTCTACACTAAGACTATCTAATCTTAGTGTATGAAAATATTGTGTGTGTGTGCACCTGCTTGTTTTTCAGTCAGTCATGGCTCCTGGCAATTGCCTGGACAAGTCCCTGCAGTTTTCTTGTTACCATTTTTGCAAGTGGTTTGCCATTGCTTCCTCTTTAAGACTGAGAGAGGGAGAGAATGACTGGCCCAAAGTCAACCAGCTGGCTTTGTGCTTGACAACCAATACTGTATGCAAGTATATTGGGTATATTGAGACCAGAGTTGATATTCAGCAGGTTCTGACCAGTTCTGGAGAACCGGTAGCGGAAATTTTGAGTAGTTCAGGGATACCATCTCTGACTGGCTCCACCGCCATCTATTCCCTGCCTCCTGAGTCCCAGCTGAACTGGAGGAAATGGGGATTTTGCAATAACCTTCTCCTGGAGTGGAGAGGGAATGGAGATTTTGCAGCATCCTTCTCCTGGAGTGGGGAGGGAATGGAGATTTTACAGTAACTTTCCCCTGCCACACCCACCAAGCCATGCCCACCAAGCCATGCCCACAGAACCGGTAGTAAAATTTTTGGAATGCCACCACTGATTGAGACCAATAATGGATCTCAAAACAGGTATCTACAACTTTTTCAGTAAACGGTGAGAAGACGGAAGAGACTTAGACCTAATTCCTAATTCTTGTAATGGGATATAAGACTCACCCTCCATTTTTCTGTAAGGCCTGAGTTTCAGACGCCAATCAATGTTTTTTAGGTAATGGTCATGTGGCAAATCTCCTTATCTGGGCAACTCCAAATTACTCTATAAATACTCACTCATTATATGTTTGGCTGTTTTCCAGACCAGTACAAGAATACATAGAGAACATTTTGTTTAGTTAAGATTGTCCAATGAAAAGTTATCAAAAATACAGATTTATTTATATATGGGAGGGATCAAATCTGAGTTAAAAAAAAAAGACTAGTGAAGAAGAAATCAAAACAAACAGATCTCTCTATTTCTGCTGAGTGATACCAATCTTATTTATTGGTTTTATTAATTATGAATCTGTGGATTGCATTTTGTCAGTCATTACTTGTATGAGCACAGTTGTAAGTTACAAAAGTTGCTGCTCATTTTTTCCCTGAAATTTGTAATTAAGAATCTGATGCTACTGTTTGGGTGGGGGAGGTGAGGGGGGGGGGTCCAAAGGCCAGTAGGTTGTCAAGCAAGACAATAAGACATTTGTGTCCTTTACTAGACTAAGCCAGCAGCATAGGCCTGAATCACATACAGTATCTCTGCTCCATTGTGGCTGAGTTTTAAATAGAAGTACTGTATCATGTAAGTGGATCTGCAAGACAATACTGTAAGTCAAATTTTAGACTCTGCTGCCTTTACCTCAAGGTTTTCAACAGTCATAATAACACATTTAGTTATGTTTAATAAGGTTTATGTTAAAAACTTCTGAGGATGTCACAGAAGCACAGACATTTTGTCAGATTTTTGCCTTCAGGAATGCAAAGAGAGTACTGATTATAGGCAAAGAAATTCAATCTTGGAAACTCCCCTGTCAGACCATATGAAATTTGCTAGGACCAATAGGAAGGGGCATTGGACATTATGTTGAAAGAAGCCTAAAATGCACTGAAGGATCTTCCCCAAAGTAGTTTCTAATCTATTCCAGTAAAGGTATTAACCCAAAATGAAACCAGCTGAAAGGGAAGTATTCAGAAGATATTTGTTTAGGAAGAATTAAAAAAGAAAGAAACATTGCTCCTTCCTCAATTTACCCTGCCATCTGTACCCTTTAAATTCAGTAATTTTAATTTTCAACCATAGATATAGTTAAAAATACTGTGCTTGAGAATTATTTATGTGTACAATTTATATAAATTCTAGGGGTGTTCTAGGGGTGTAGATGGTTCTTGTCCTCAGTTCATGGGTCAGCAAAAATAGATACCCAAGTTATCCAACTGATGAACAGCTTTTAATTGAAGTTGCAAAGTATTTCTGGATATTTGTTATTATTCTGCATCTGCATGCACATATATACTGTATAGTAATTCTGTGATAAAATCTTTTCTAATTTTTTTTTTAACATTGTCTTTCAATTTGATTGGTTTGCTTAACTTTTTTTAAATCGATATAGTAATCTTTTGGTGACATATTGGGTAGAATCAGGGGTGGGATCTACTTACCTTTACTACCGGTTTGTAATGGGGCTGCGCGCGCTTCGCTTCCTGATGACATCAGGAAGCGGTGGGTGGAGCCTCCCGCTGGTTTTACTACCGGTTCTATAGAACCGGTCCAAACCAGGGGCAACCCACCACTGGGTAGAATGCCAGGGTTTTGCAAGTAATTAGGGGGCAGAAGTATTTGTTAATGTAACTTGTCTCTTATTGTAGATTTCTGCCTGTGTCCTCTTTGATTTTATATGTTTGATCAATTCCATGGGAATATTTCTGAAGGAAACATATGGGTTTTTCAAACCAAGAAATGTGGGAGATTTCAGAGCAATAGAGTGATGCGTAACAAGAATAAATCAAATGCTCTGCAACTTTGCAACATTAAAATAAGCTCAAAATTCATCATGTGGTATTGCTATATATAACAATCCATGATTGTGGAGGTTGAAGTAGATGGACTTTAGCTATTGTGGTATAGTGTCATACTTAATAAGAATATCTTCACTTACATTGAGGAACATTTAGATCATTACATACATAAAGGTCACTTTGTTCCACTTGATTTTCTTTACTTTCATGGGTAAAGTTTTATATTTGCTTATTGCTCTATTGGCTCTGAAATTAGGTATACCTTTTAATGGTCATGTATTGATTCCCTGAGATGCTGGCTCTACATTTTCACATATATGCAAATTATTACAATTTTCTTTCTTTGTGCTATGCTTGATGAGATTTGTTTATTCACAGAATTGGCAGATAATTGATACTTGTATGTATAGTAAAATAAAAAGTCCAGGTTAAGATATAGAATATTGCCTTCACAAAAAATAAATTCAAAGTCAGGACCCACCACCCATAATCCCATTTATTAATTTATATGTCTATATATACATTCTGGTTATAATCTGTTGTGTGAATATGACAGATCTGTCATTTGATTACCTTTGAAATCATTATATGAGAATCAGTTAAGGCACCCAGCTAGAAACCAGGAAACCATGAGTTCTAGTTCCAACTTAGACACAAAGTCAACTGCTTTTCACAGGATGTGTTCAAGCAGAGCCTGGACAGCCATCTGTTCTGGAATGAATCTCTCTCCCGCCTCTCACTCTCTGCATTCTGCTTTATACATTTAGATGTTTGGTAGGCTAAGTTCAGAGCCATTGCTTCCTCTCCTCTGCTGTACTGTAAACTTCATAAATAGCATCTTATTTTCAATATTAAATATTATCTTCAGGCGAGTGAAATGTAGCTAACACATTTGGAAAAGTGTTGGCTTTTTCATGTAGTGTTGGATTGCTAGCATTAACAAATTATTTATAAAAATAGATGAAGGCAGATGGGCTATTAAAATTCTCAGGGGATTTTTCTCTTATTTTACTGGTTGACATATTTTGCTAAGTGTAACTATAATCCTGACTCTTCCGTCGCTAAAATACTTCTGGTTTTTGACAGAAAACACACTTTCTTTTCTAAGTTTTCATTTTAAAAAAATCTTTGAAAACTAGAGGGTTTTTTCTTTAAAAAAAAATCTAACTGGCTTTCTTAATTTTGTACTTGAAATTAGGACTGTCTTATTGATGCCAACTTCTATTAAATATGCATAAGACTCCCAATATTTTTAAAAAAAACTTTATTATTAACAATTATTTATTATTTTAGCTTGTGCAAGATAGGATATTATGTCCATGCAAGAATTTTAATTTAATCATATTTACTTTCAATTGAAATGGAATTATTTGCTGAAGAATATTATCATGTTGCATTTTTTCTTTCTCTTAGTATATACTTGGAAAATACTTCCGAAATCTGCAGGTAAATTTTTTGAGGATGATGAAATACATGCAGCTGGACTTTAGTAGAAAATTGCTAACTACTCATCCATTCTACTTGAAAAGATTGATGTATGGTATTAGTTGGGGGAGTGGGGTTTGAAAATTATACCAGTAATAAGAACAGTGGAAAATTGCCTAATGTAGGACAAATCTGTTCTCTGATGTTCACATTTTTAAAAGCACATATTAATTCTGTCCCATTTCAACTTCAGTTTGTAAGAGGTCTTGTCTGCTCATATTTTTTGCCTTTTTATACAGTAAATACATTTATAAAATACATCTATGCATGTATATTAATGTGACATATTTGTATAATTCCTCCCACATCCTATCCATGTATACATTTTTATCTTATTTTTCCGTCTCTCTCACCCCACTGCAAATCTCTAAGAATCATTTCAAATAATATTCATCCATTATTAATATTGTCAGATCACACATTAATTTAGAAACTATGAATTTTTAATTTAAAATAAAATTAAACTGAATAAGGTTAAAATAATTTTAAAAAGATATTCCAAGAGCCCTCAGCCCATCTTAGCAAGATGGGTGGCATACAAGTTTGATAAAATGAATATATATATATAAACAGTTTCTAAGGAATAGTCCAAAGATACAGTCATAACTACAGAATTCTAAGCAAACACAGTTTTTCTATCATTCAGAAGCTCTTAGAATAAAAGAGCAATTGGTTTTTAGAAAGCTTAGTACATCAGTGGTGTATATGTATGAGTTATGTGCACCAATATAGACAAACTGTTTGCTTGGATTCATATGCAAACCATTCACACTTCGGTGAATAAAGCTAAACTAGGAAGTTCTTGATTCCGAACTGATGTGCAGTTGTGTACATGTACCTATAAACTTTTAAGGAAAGCACTCCTTCAGCCTGTATGCAATAGAAGGATGGTGAAATATCTACGTTATTGACATAGTTCTACATTATAGTCATTTTAGTTCAAATGCTTCTTTTACCTGGGTGAACTTAGGGTAAGACCAAAGTTATTAAAACAAAATTAATTTTGGATTTTCACTTTATTGGGAATTAATTTGATGATCTAAAACATGTCAACAATTTTTAAAAATTATTTCCAGTTCAGTGGAATGTTGAAAAGGGAAAAAAAACCATAAAGGACTTTGGGAAACTTTCAGCTAAATATGTATGAAAAAACCTGAAGCAAATTATGTAGGCAAAGAAGATGGCAAAAGAAGCATTGAGATAAGAAGTGGGCCAGAGTTAGCCAGTAGTTTCAGTTAAAAAAGAAATTTAGTAATATTTTCCCAAATGCTTTTTCTGAGGAGATAGAAGAGCTGAAGGAAACTTCATGTTATATATTTGAATATATAGTTTAGATTTAGCCATTTGAATGATAAGCAGATGATGGAAAAATAATTCAGCACAAATGTTGCAGTGTTTCATGTTTTTCATTGATTTGACAAAAACGGATTTCAGCTGGGATCCTTAAGAATGAAAAGGTTCTCCTATCTCCTAACCCCCTGTCAGGTTATCCTTAAACTGCTGGAATCTGTTTTTCCTCTTGGATACTTGCCCTACTCTAAGTCCCATCCCTCTTTTGACCAAGAGTCAAAAGGTATTATTAAAGAGTTAGAAGGCATTTCAGAAGCCACAGAATCAGGAGTGCTATTCAGCAGGTTCTGGAGAACTGGTAGCAGAAATTTTGAGTAGTTCGGAGAACCGGCAAATATCACCTCTGGCTGGCCCCAGACTGGGGTGGGAATGGAGATTTTGCAATATCCTTCCCCAAGGAGTGGGGAGGGATTGGAGATTTTGAAGTATCCTTCCCCTGCCATACCCACCAAGCCACATCACACCCACCAGAACCGGTAGTAAAAAAATTTGAATTCTACCACTGCACAGAATTCTTTCTCTTTCGTGTTTATTTTCTGGCACTACATTGCTTACTCCTGTACTAGCGCATTATGAGCATACGGTTGGCAGCGAAATTATTGTTTCTCTTTGATTTTCATGATTATGATTCATTGATTATTTTTCAGCTCATGATCACATTGTGTACCTTTCCATCTCCTGGTTTCAAATAAGATCATCGAGGTAGCATACAAAATAACATACACTTGTACAAAAGTGTCACTAACTTGTTTTTTTTTTTTAATTCTTTCTAGGTGTAATATAGCTTCAAAAGCAGATAAGGAAAGAAAAGTAGTGGGAGAAAAATGGCAAGTTATGATAATGTTAGCCACCTATCTTATTTTTTTGGCAACATCACACGTGAAGAAGCTGAAGATTACCTATTGCATGGAGGACTAAACAACGGACTGTACTTACTGCGACAGAGCCGAAACTATCTGGGTGGTTTTGCTTTGTCTCTGGCAAACAGTGGAAAGGTTTATCATTATACCATTGAGAGGGAAATTAATGGCACTTATGCTATTACTGGAGGGAAATCCCACCGGAGTCCAGTGGAACTCATTGACTACCACTCAGATGAAATTGATGGTCTCGTGTGTTTACTCAGGAAACCATGTAATCGGCCACCAGGAGTGGAACCAAAAACAAGTCAGTTCGAGGACTTGAAGGAAAATCTAATCAAAGAATACGTTAAACAAACCTGGAATTTATGTGTAAGATTTATTTTTTTTTGTCCTTTTATGTACGTCTATGGAGATTCTCAATCATCCAGGTCATAGTTGTCCCAAAGATGCTTTTTCAGGCAACTGGACTTTCTGTTTTTCCTTTGAAGACGTTTCACTTCTCATCCAAAAAGTTTCTTCAGCTCTGGAAGCTTCTTCCTCCTCAGAGCTGAAGAAGCTTCTTGGATGAGAAGCGAAACGTCTTCAAAGAAAAAACGGAAAGTCCAGTTGCCTCTTGAAAAAGCACCTTTAGGGTTCCTTTTCTGTAGTTTTTCCTCTTTTGCTTTTGGGAGGTTAGTGGCTATAGTTGGATAAGTATCTAAGAGCATGTCATATATGTGGAGAAAGCCAGGATTTCCAATTTTTCTGGAGTTTTGGGAAATTGAATTTGAATTTGAAATTCAATTGGAAATTGAAGTTGCTTCCTATACTGTATTTGTTCAGTATAGACATCCTCAGCTTAAACCGATCCATTTAGCAACCTTTTGAAGTTACAACAGCATTGAAAAAAGTGACTTATGACCAGTCCTCACATTCATGATTGTCACAGTCACATGATCAAAATTCGGGTGCTTGACAACTGGCATATATATATGACAATTGCAGCACTCTGGAGTCATGTCATCATCATTCATGACATTCGTACCCAGCATCTGACAAACAAGTCAATGATGGAAACTGGGGTCTCTTAAAGACTGCACGATTCACTTAACAACTGCAGTAATTTGCTTAACAACATGGCAAAAAAGTCATAAAATCAGCTATGTCTCACTTAACAACCATCTTGCTTATCAGTGGAAATTCCAGTCTCACTGTGGATTTAAGTGGAGGACTACCTTTACTTCTATTTTCGGACTTAAACTACACTTGACGTATTTTCCCACTATTTTAACTACATACCATTTTAACTACATACCATTTTAATTTCCATCATAAACTACATGCCATAGTTTCCCACCATTTTAAAGTGATACATGTATTTATCCCTTTAAAATGGTGGGGAACTCTGGCGTGTATTTAAGCCATTTTGTTCTGAGCATTTTCTGTGAACTGCAAAAACAGGTCAGCTTGCCAGATACCCTCCTCTTGACATGTTGCTATCCTTTGTTCAACAAATAAGAAGTACAGTGATGCTTAAAAGTTTGTGAACCCGTTTGGATTTTTGGTATTTCTGCGTAAGTATGACCTATGATCTGATTTCCCCACAAATCCTAAAAATAGGTAAAGAAAACCCAATTAAACAAATGAGTTAAAAACACTATACAGATTCATTTATTTATTGAGGAAAATAATCCAAAACTACATATTTAAGTGGGGCAAAAGTAGGTGAACCTAATTTTGAAACTTGTGTGCAGAACATACCATATTTTAGGCCATACTTGGGAAGAAAAATTAAAAATTCAAAAGGTTTACAAACTTTAAAGCACCACTGAATGTAAAAGAGTAAGAAAAAACAAGAGGTGAACCAAAACCACAACTTGTAATAGCATGCTTGTTGTACTCCCTAATTAACATACCACTATTGCTGGGTGCAACATTTTTTCTTTTAATTTGAGAATGGATTTCAGAATACCTGGAATTTTCCAGTTATACATACACGTAATTCAATTTGTTATTTTGGAAACACTGATCATGTTATTTCTAGGCAACATTTATTCATATATTTTTTACTTTCAGATATATTGTGTTACTTTCCATGTTTCAAATTTGTTCTCATAAAAATATTCCTGTTGGAACTGACTAAGATCCATCTTAGTCCAGCATTTCCTTTTTCATGGTGTCCAACCCGATGCCTCTGGACTGCTCACAAGATGGAGCCATATTCCTGTCTTTCTGATGTTTCTTTGCAGCTGGTATTTGGGACATGCTAAAATTCGTAACCCTTGATAGACTCTAATCTTCAGGATGTGCTAGAACATCTGATAATACAATGTGCTTTGGATGTCCCAATTTCTATCCTGGGAAAGTCAGTACAGGTTCAGATATTGGTCCAACAAGTAGTTCTCAACTTATGACCACAGTTGGGATCAGAACCTCCAGCACTAAGTGATTCAGTTGTTAAGTAAGTTGTACCCAATTTTACAACTTTTTTTTGCTGCAGTCATTAACTGTATCACCACAGTTGTTAAGTGAATCCAAATTCCCCCATTGACTTTGCTTGTTGGAGGCCCCCTATGAAGGTTACAAATGGTGATCATGTGACACTGAGAAAGTGCAACTTTTATAAATATATGTCAGTTGCCAAGTGCCCGAATTTTGATCATGCAACCACAGAGGTGCTGCAATGTCATAACTATGAGGACTGGCTGTAAATCCATTTTTTTCAGCCCATCATAACTTTGAATGATCAATAAATGAATGGTTGTAAGTCAAAGACTATATATCTTCTACATCAGGGGTATCAAACTAGTGGTGTCACGTCATCATGTGACTTTGATGCATCTGGCCCATGGGCCGTGAGTTCTACAGCAAAAGCACAGGTACAAAGTATTAATTCAGTTTTTCTGTATTCATATTCTCTAGCATTCATTTCACTGCTTTGTCATCTAATCACCTAAACTGGTGAAGTTGGCTAATATCCAACTTTAAATATGAATTTCAAAATTCTTGTTTAATGATTTTGTAATTCATTTCTCAGTTATTTTAAATTTTATTTGTATTATTTATTATGATTTTACACCATCTCTACCAGGGTTTATATCACAATCATTTTCACAGTACTGCTTCTGCAGGCAGAAGTTAGAAAACACCACTTTTGGTAAGGGACAGGAAAAAAAAATGGACAGACTGCCCTTGCAGTGAGCCAATGATGGTTGAGAACAATATCATATTTTAAAATCCTTCAAAAAAGGATTAGTGGGGTAAATTTCTCTCAGGGCAAACCAGACATTCAGATGATCTCTAAAACTTATGCTAAAAGTTCTACACTCGGAATGTTTATACTTTAAAAACTTAGTAAACGGCTCTGTTTATGTCAAAACCATTCATACATCAACTTCCATAATTAACTATATTATATTCTTATATTCTTTGCCCTCCGGTCAATTATACAGGGACATGCCCTTGAGCAAGCAATTATTAGTCAGAAACCACAACTGGAGAAACTGATCGCTACAACTGCACACTTGAAAATGCCCTGGTTCCATGGGATGATATCTCGGGAGGATTCAGAGCAACGCCTACTTCTGGGTACAAAGACCAATGGGAAATTTTTGTAAGTATACATTTTTTCCTACATGACTTAATGCTAAAAAAACAGAAGAAGAGTAGGAAAAATAATCAAAACAATCTTTTTAACCATTCCAACATTTCTTTTTAATGTTGGTCATTGCAGTTCCATTTACTTAAAACAGCATTCATGATTTCTTTACAGTGGCATGATCAGTTCTTTAAAGTATAAAGAACACCATGTCCACCAATTGTGAAGCTGGAAAAACCTTTTTTAATACACTATCACTGTCTCTAAAAATAAAATGGACAAATTAAAGGTAGGTGGTGGTTATAATCTCTGTAACCAAATAGAAGGTCCATATTTCAGTTAGTTCATAGTTCATTTGGTCATTGAATGTCAGAACTTGGATGAACAACTAGAGAACTCCCTGTGTTGCTCATTTTACATTGAAAGATATTGAATTTGACAGATATTTCCATATTCTTTTCTCTAAAACTATAGTTAGGTTGCTATGCTTTCTGACCATGTTTATACCATTTATACAATTTTTCAACGTACGTATTGTCCCATACATTATCATCTTTCTTCTTCTTTCATTCTGCAGTATTATTTTTAGATTAGTATTTCATACTTTGAACTCAGATCTAAAAGCATTGTCTTTCTTTTTGCTGTGCTGTTTACAAAGTTACTCTAAGCTTGACCTAAGAAAGGTCCTTCTGTGCCTAGAATTCTACAGCTAGCCTGATAGTTGCTGAAAACTCTTAAAGTCCATAGACATAGAAGCTACCCAGGTTGAAGAAAACAGAAATAGAGCAGTTTTCAGGAAAAGAAAAAAGAAGACTTGGCCCAAAATGCTATAGCACAATCTCCCTTTTCAATTATTACCTGTGCTTTGGCTTGAAAGAAAAAATAATAAATTACCTAATAACCCTGAAGCAAATCTTACTTGTTGAGGATAATCAAGTGAAAAGTTACAGTTGATAGGTTTCATCTACCATTTAGAAAGCAGATTGCAGTAGCCCCAAGACTTAGGCAACTATATACCTACTGTGATCTTAATAGATGTCTAATAATTTACTAAATAAGTAACAGAGAAATATAATAAATAAGATAAGCTGCATAATATGTGATTTCATTATAAAACTCTTTTCTAGTATCCTGAAAACCAGAACTAGATTGTGTGAAAGTCTAAATTCTGTAAATACAGAAAAATGCTGTAATTTGCAGATAAAAATATTCTGATCTATTTGTATTTCCTGTCTTTTTTATTAGAACTAAACTATTTATAGGTTAATCAAAAAATACACAGAATGATAGTAAATCAGGAACTGGAATATACTAATCATTCATGGAAGCTTGGAAATAATGCATTAAGATCAGATCAGTTATATTTTTTTACAGATTGTGATCACAGAATGAATATAAATCAGTACAGTTTTTTTCTAACTAGCCTTCATTTTTCCTTATTTTACAACTTTTAAAAATATAAACTTCACAGAACATGATTTGAGGGAGGAGGATAAGTAAAAATGAAACCAATTTGTATGATAGTCCTCCTTATCTGGTGTCATTCGGGTATATTAAAGTGCAATTTTCGCTCAAAGCATTTGAAAGGCATTAGATTAAGGTACAGTAGATTGCTATAAAACATCATGGTGTTACAGTCAGGATAAGACACTTTGTAGATATTAATATCTTTTCTTAGGGATTTTATAAAACTAAACAGATTCTTCTTGATAGATATATTCCCTATTGTGTGCCACTTACTCTCTTATAATCCCTTCTTTTCCAATCTCTCTGTTCTGCAAGAGGGGGAGGGAGGAATAGATCAGACATGGGAGAGATTGCCTAGAGAAATCATTTGTTTTTTTCCTATTTTCCCTCCCACCCCAAATTTTTCATGGTTTCAGTGTCTACAAATGAACAATGCAATCCAGTCATGGAAGACAAACATCAAATTTACTATAACTCATAATACACTAAGAGAAAAATGATATGTTTTTCTCCTGGTATATTAGCCCAGTGGTGATTTCTAAAATAGGCATATATATTCAGAAATTTTTTGAAAATGTAAGAATCAAGTTGGAATGTTTTATCATATGTGATGGTCAATTTTTGTGGCAAATGATCAACTGCAGGATGAACCAAATTATAAATACTGACTTTCGTTTGCAGTTATTTTCCCGTTAGGTATTGCTAAATTTTACAGAAACATACAAAATAGATTGAACTGTCTTTACATATGATATTTGCTGCCAGGATATTTTGTAATTTACATTTCATTTTGTTGATAGCTTGCGGCCATATCTGAGATTTGGGTTCTCTTAAAATAAGTGTCCTTTAAACTAAGATGGTTTATTTTCAGTAGATAGATCTTTAAAATTTATTTTAAAATTATTTTTAATAATAATTAAACATAACAGTATTGAAAATGCTAAAGTATTAAAATGTCATGAAACTATCTTTATAATTGTTTTGATCCAATTCTAAATGGCTATATAAGGATAACATTTGAGATGTTTCTTTCAGTGGAATAAGTTCTGCTTTCATTTTAATTTTATTTTAACATTATTCTGCAAACTTTTCTGTGTAATTTGCAATTTCTGTTTCTTTTTTCTCCTTTTCCTTTTAAAATAAATTATTCATTCTTTAAAAAATCCCTCAGTCTGAACCACAATCATCCTTGTTTACCTACTGGTGGCAGGAGCAGTTAAAGATTGTAGTTTGGGCAATGTGTCCCAACCAGGGGTGAAATCTACTTACCTTCCTTACCGGTTCAGAAATGCACATGCCGCACATCACATGCAGACCCTTGCGCATGTGCAGAAGGTAAAAAACACATTACTTACTGGTTAAAACCAGGAAGTAATGACACCCAAGCGGGTGGGTGGAGCCTCGCACCGCCATCGCTACTGGTTCTCCAAACCACCTGCCACAATCACTACCAGATTGCCCAATTCAGTCCGAACTGGGAGCATTTCACCCCTGGTCCCAGCATGTTTTGCCATGAATATTAAGTTAGATTTTCATAGACCTTCTTTTTATATAGACTATAATTTCCCTTTTATTCTTATTTTACTTTTTAGGATTCGGGAAAGAGATAACAGTGGATCCTATGCTCTTTGTTTACTCAATGAAGGCAAGGTAGCACATTATCGCATTGATAAAGACAAGAAAGGAAAGCTTTCAATACCAGCTGGAAAGAAATTTGATACTTTATGTCAGGTTTGTTGAATAGTATTCACTTAACTAACTTGTTTCCTGGTTGTTTACATATTTATGTTGCTGTAAGTGTCCATAGTTTTTAACAATATAATTATATTCATAGTTAGATTTATTGAAGCCTTATGTATGTGTTATGTGTGGTTGTGTGTATAAAATATGCCATGTTTAATATTAATTAAATTAACCTGTCCTATTAAGATAACCCAGCAAGTTTTGTGGCAGAGCAGATTCAGAAAGATATTTGTAATAATAGATCTATTACAGATCTATTATATTTAGATCTATAATGTATCTATTATATTTAGATCTATTTAGATCTTCATTTATACCTAAATGAAAATAGCTATTGAAAAAAATCTAGGATTCCATTTCAGAATATGTCAAATATTTTCTGTATCTTGAGTGAGTTTCAGTTATAAAATGTCTCAAAAGAGAGACTACCTTGGAAAATTTTAATCTTGGAAAGGAAGCAAACAATTGCAATAAACAAACAATTTTTTTTTGAAAAAAATTATTTAAAACATTAGACAATATTATACACAAAAACTTGCATAGAAGGAAAAAACAAAACAAACATATATGTAAATTGTCATCCCTAGTTGAATACTTATAAATATATTTGAAAGATAATAATTCTTGCCTTTATATATTTTTAAGTGTTTTAATCATTGTGACATTATTTTAATTGTTGGATGAACTTCACCCAGATTCACATTCAATGAGATGGATAGCCCTATCTCATACCACCTATATAACATTGTAGAGCAAGGGTGTCAAACTCGATTTCATTGAGGGCCGCATCAGGGTTGTGTTTGACCTTGGAGGGCAGGGGATAGGCATAGCTGGGGGTGGCGGTGGCCATGCTAAGCATAGCCAGCTCAACATCACTCGTGTCAGGGCACCTGTAGTGGCCAAATACTAAGGCAGGATTTCCCCGAGACCCTACCTCACACTCATTATAATTTCCTTCCTTCCTTCCTTTTCTTCCTTCTTTCTTCTCCCTTCTTCTTCCTTCTCCTCTTTCCTTATTTTTTCTTCCTTGCTCTCTTCCCATCTTATCTTCTTTTTCTTTCCTTTTTCCCTTTCTCCTTTCCTGTCCCTTCTTGCATGCTCAAATGCAAAAGGGGAACATTGTTTTTTTTTTAGGTTTTTTATAGGCCTCTGCCAGCGAAAACAGAGCCCGGGGGGCCATGTGTACCCCCCGCACCCCATTTTTGGCCATGACAACCTCCTGCAGCCCTCTGCCACAACGGAGCTCCGTTTTCATTGGCAGAGGCACTGCAGACTCTTCCTTTGCTGTTTCTAGACCGGCCCTGCAGGGCCTTGAGTTTGACACCCCTGTTTTACAGTGAATTCCTTTTAGTTTGTATACTAAAACTTTACTCATATTTCTTGTTGATGGAAAAGGACAGTTAAATTGTTAGAATAAATAAATTGTGCATTGTGACATCACAACACAAACTATGTAACTTACACACCAATTTCAGGAAACATTTGATAAGTGAGAATTTGTATTCTGACATCATGATGGACCATTAATCAGTTTTGCATCACAATACGTTGAACTGGATTTTTATGAATAATTTTAGAAGTGGGATGAACTGTTAATTTTATTGCATTTTGACTGTATGAAAATGAAAATCCTTAATATGGATTTCTCAAATTTTATTTATGACTTTTAATGTCATTCATATACTGATAAAAAAAAATCTCTCATACCACCTATATAACATTGTAGAGTGAATTCCTTTTAGTTTGTAATACTAAAACTTTACTCATATTTCTTGTTGATGGAAAAGGACAGTTAAAAAGAGAGAGGCAATTATTTCTAATTGTGCTATAAATGTTGTACAGGTAGTCCTCAATTTATGATCACAATTGAACCCAAAATCTATGTTGCTAAGTGACAAATTTGTTACGTGAGTTTTGCCCCATTTTACTGCAGTTGTTAAATTAGTAACATGGCTGTTAAGTGAATCAGATTTCCTCATTGACTGGACTTATCAGAAGGTCGGAAAAAGATGATCACATAACCCCGGGACACTGCAGCAGTCATAAATGTGAGTCAGTTGTTAAGCAGCTGAATGTAAATCACATGAGTTTGGGATTGCTGCAACGGTCATAAGTGTGAAAAATGATCATTAGTCACTTTTTTTCAGTGTTGTAACTTTGAACGGTCACTAAGTGAACTGTTGTAAGTTGAGGACTACCTGTACTACTATTCTGTCTGCAGAAAACTGGGTTAAAAGTGTGGTAAACAAGCCAAATTTTTACTTTCTCTGGGCAGTTTGTTTTTAAATACACAGTTCTTCAATGATACTAGAAGTTTATTTTGATCAAACATGCAAAATGTACAGCAATTTGGTCCATACAATCTAATTTTCTAATGCTTATATACTTATATTTTTTTACCATATGAGATAGTTTGCATATTAGCAAATAAATATGATGTTGCCTCATCATATTTCTAATCTTGGGGTGTACAAGTTTAATGTCTGCAGAAATCTATTTAAGTCAATGGTTGGTGAAAAAGAAGAACACATACGTAGCTCCACAAGGCTGTTTAAATTTTATTATGAGAGTTAAATCTCACATACTTCAGAAGAAAACAGTCTGATATCACATAGTTATCAAAACAAGATTGGTGAAAATTGGATCTCGTGCTCCAAGAAGAAGCCAAGTAGCCCATTAAAAAGAATGAACAATATAACATAAAGAAAAGGTTTGAATAGTTATTCTATAAATGGCCCTTGTACTTGAAATGCTGCAATTTTTTTATGATAGCTTTCTAATGTTAATAAAATTACTTATCAGAAATTCTTACATTCTTATGAAATTGCCAAGTTATTTCCAGTCCTGTTTGTTCACTGAAACCTGATATTTATGTGCAGTATTAAGTAGAAATTATAATCCAAAATTTTAGTTGTGGGATAGAACTAAACGTTTAATAGCTTGTGCATGCATTTGTTTTCATTTAATTGCTGCTACCGGTATTTTATTTTATCCAAATGACAGCTAGTGGAACATTATTCCTACAAAGCAGATGGACTTCTAAGAATAATCACAGAGCCAGTTAAAGATCCAAATTTTCAGTCAAGAAATAGTAAGTAACTTACATTTTTAAAATATGGAAGTCAAATCCATACACTGTGTGCATTACTAACGTCTGATTATGTCAAGAAGATGAAGAAAATTCCTAGTAATAAAATTAAAAGTACCCTAACAATGTCATTATTGGCAAAATTAACTTAATTTTTCTGAAATACAGTTTCTTAAAAAAAGATAATAAGTATCTATTGCAGGAGTGTCAAACTATTGCAGGATTTCATTGAGGGCCACAACAGGGCTGACCTCACAGGGGTGACCGGATGGGTGTGGCCAGCTTGATGACGCTCACTGGGCGTGGCTGACTTGGGATGGCCGCGTCGGCATGGAACAAGTCATACCTGCTAACTTGATGTGGGGACAATTTTGTGCCCCACAAGCTCCTCGCTTCCCCAAATTGCTGGCAGCCAAGTGTGTGCGTGTGCGCACACACATACACACATTCCAAGTTTAGGGACTTCATCCACATAGGAAGAAGAGGACCTTCTCCCTAAGCCCAGACATGATTGGCAGTTTGTAAACTCAGATGTGGATAAAAGTCTCCAAGCTTGGAATGGTTTGTGTGTGTGTGCGCGCGTGTGTGTGTGCTTGTGCACAGCATGCCAAAAGAGGCGTTCTTCTCCCAATCCCAGACATTGTTGGCATTGCACCCTCCCCGCAAAGGAGGAGGCATAGTACGCCGCTGCTGTGTGTAGAAACATAGAGGAGAAAGTTTGCAGGAAGCAGTTTCCTCCAAGTCCAACTTCTGCCTTGACAGATCTCTGGAGAGCAAGAGGAGGTGGCAGGGGAGCAGTGCTCCCTGGTCCTGCGTTAGGGAGGCTGGTCCTTCTCGAAAGGGAATCCCTGTTTCCAATTATGAGTGGTAAAGATACTAGCTTGTTTGGGCAGTTTTTTCTCATGCTGCTCCCCCACCATCCACTCCTCCTCTCCATGGCAGCTCTCCACTCCACTCCACTCCACTCGAGGTCTTTCAAGGCAGAGGTTGGACTCGGAGGAAACTGCTTCCTGCAAAATTTCACTGCATCAGCATTATGGTTGCCCTCAAAGGGCCAGTTGCATGTAATTGTTGATTGTATCATATTAGTTCAGGAGTGTATTAACATGGAACGAACAGGATTAACATTTTAAATATGAACAAATATTTCAAATAAATCTGCAAAAACATTTAAAAGAAACAAACATAAGCTTTGAATATGTAAAAATAAATTTAAAACAAAGAAAAAAACAAGCTTTTTAGTTCTCTCTCTCTCATGTTGTTTTGTCCGAGCCGGATGCTTGGCATCTTTTATTGGCTACAAGTTCATCCATGTTTGGAGTTAGGTTCTGAGCTGTGGAAGCTCTCAGGATAGAGTGGGGGTGTGAATCAGTGTGAACCCTTCTGTCTGCACTCTTTCATCATGGAGAAACGTTGCTCACACAGGTATGTACTTCCAAACATGCACATCATTCAAGCTGCTTGTAGGTGGAGTTGGCGAATTGTTTCAGGTATGAACCTGATGAATTGTGGATGGAGGAAAAAATCAGCAATCCACCATCATTCTGAAGCTGGTCTAGCAGCCACAAGGGCTACTCAATCTCTCTAGTTAAGCTATCTCCATTTCTGATCAGATTCTGATCTTTTCAGGGCTGCCTTTCAATGTCTCTGATTGTAGGGGGGAAAACCCAAGACACAATCTAGCTTTCCCAAATAGGAAACAAGGAACCACCGTCTCCATCTTTTCCCAACATCCAAGAAGCCAAATATCTATCCAAAATTTAGCTTTCTCGGGCAATGCTGGTTAAATCCCTTGGGGCCTTCTTGTGGGTCTGTCTTTTTGGGGGGGGGGGAGACCCAAAGCATCCCTCCATTGACTTCCAGACATTTTCCACAAAGCCTTGGAGCATGGTGTGCTTTGGGGGCCTAGGGGATGGGGGCTCATGGGAGAGGATGCCCATCAGGTGTTCAGTGCCAATGGTTTAACGTGTGTAGTGTGCCAATGAAGGGTTTTGGGCCTTTGGGCAGTGTCTCCTGTACCCTAGTGATATCAGGGTACCTCATCACCTTTGAGTGATATCCTCCAGTTTAAGTGCCTTTAAAATGGTAGGCAAATTCCCAATGGATAATAGAGTTTGGCATGAAGGTACTGTCTGAATCAGAATATAAATTGTAGTAACTTTTATTTCTATTACAAGATCTATTGTAGTATTTTATGTGTAATATAAAATTACAATACATACAATTCAAATCACATTGTTCTTTATCACAACAGTGTATTGCATCTAATTTTGTAAATTAAAATCTAACGGGCCTAAAAATTTCAATTGACTAATATCATGTAATACCTGACTAAAAACCGTAATACCCTTACAGTTTCCAGGATGGCCCCGTGGGCCGGATCCAACCCCATCACAGGCTGGATCCAGCCCATGGACCTTGAGTGTGACATCCCTGATCTATAGCATCAATTATAGAAACATAATTTTCTCTCAGTTTGGAGTGGTGAGATATGGTGGAGGGGTGTATGTATGGTGGAGGGACACTTATGTACCGATATGTGATCCATTCCATCTCCAAAATGAAATTGGATCAGATATGAATGCCATATTCTTGTAAACGAGGAGTGTGCAAATATTTCAAAGATTTTTTTGCCTAGCACATTACACAAATGAAGTGTGACTCCCATAAATATTGCCGTTAAAGTGAGCTCTGGATAATTTGGCTGCTTTCAGATTGTAGATCTATGTTACTAAAACCAAACTTTCACTGTGAGGGCTGGTAAAACAAAGCTTCACTATCATACAAAACTACATTTTTCTTGATTTATAATAAACTGTAGTTAGTTTACACATCAGGAAAAACTGACTTCATAAAGTTTCTATCTACCTGGGGCCAATTTTAGGGAGAGTTACATTACATTTTGCTCCCAATTTTATCTTTTGCTGATGAACTAGTAATGAGGCTCTTCTACTTTTCAGCCTGATGAAAAATCCTCCAGTAAATTGCAAAAGTACAAGATCCTCTTGAGTAGCAGACAAAAATTTATACATAACCTTTTCTATTCCAGAAAATTATGTTCCAGGATCAATTCACATATGCTCATTTGTTTACTTTCATTTTTTTTTAATGGGAACTGAATTTGTCTTTGTATGGAGGTAAAGTCTGTCTTTGCTCCTTGAAGCTGATCTTAATAATAAGTCACAACTGATATTTTTATAGTAATTGATATATCTTTTTACCTTAGATTCATTACCCACCAAACTTTCTAAGCCTCGCAACTCCACGGTAAGAAAATCTACTGTTGAAAACCAGTAATATCTTAAATAATATAAAGTCTGGCAATATTTAAGTGTTTTGTGTGACTTATATATTTATTCTTGCTGAATAGTGAATTAAAATAAGTTTCAGAAATAGGTTGCAAATTACCTTTTTATGCATTTTCATAAATATGTTTGTTGTTGTTTTTAAATTTTACATAATATTAATTTGTTAAAAGGCAACTATACTACCAGTGGTTACTGAATATTCATATATGAGTTTTTATCTGGTACAAATAAAATATTAGCTATCATTTTTCAAATTTTGAAACACTAATTCTGTTTTCAGAATAACTAATGAAATAAGTAGTTTTAGATATATTTGTTTTCTCTGTAAGCAAGTGCATATAGGATTTGAATGCATTAGAAGCAGAAAGTATAATTGGAGAACGTGAAATAAAATAATGGGGACTATGTTTAAAAGAAATACTGTATGTGACAAAGTTACAGAGATTTATATAAGATATTTGAAAAAGTGGAGAAAATAATAAGCACAATCCAATAAGGCTTTTGGTCCCAAACATTAAACATTATTGGAAATTCCTGTCCTAGTTTGTAAGACTAGATTTTATATTTTCCATTCACTTCATGCTAGAACAAGCATGTAAGTGGAAGTGATTGTTTTAAACTTGTTTGCACTAGTTAAAATACTCTAATCTCTTATGTTAGACATAATCTATTAATTGTGATAAGTCATGTGACCAGTTGGTAAATCTGATCATTGTGCCTTATAAATTGATGCTTTATGGTTTAGCTTAATACCAACCAATTATGCTTATCTGCAAACATTTTTAACAAACCAGGGCTTAAATTTGTGTATCGATGGCTACTTGTGATAGATTTGTGACGCAGTTACCCAAGTACCTACACCCGGAAGGGAATTAATAAGTATCATAAATTCCTCTGGAAGAATCTCCAAAAACTGTGGTTTCACAGAAGCTATTTATATGTATATTTCCATAAATGTATTAATTAGACCAAAATGATCAAACTTTTTCTTAATGGATTAGATGAGGATAGTGTATGTTATGAATAAATTAAATTCCATTTCCAATATTCAAATATACATAAAACAAATTATATCATTGGGGAAAAGAAATAAAAAATTGAAGTTTTCCAACCAACAAAATTTCTTAATATCTCCCATATTATTGCTAAATATATCATCATAAGGCTGTATGTCCCAGCCTTATGACCTTTACTAGCAACAGAGCAAGCTGACTACAAAGCCAAAAGTTCTAATTAAAAATGCAACCATTGTCATGAAATCCAGAATTGTTTCTACTTATAATAGGTCATTGTAATCAATAAACCTGCAGATGAATAATTTAAGATCTATTTATTTTAGTGGATCTCTTTTAAAATAAATCAAAGTTTGAATTTAGCCAGTGTTTTGATGGAAGCAAACATCCACTTAACTTTAAAAACCACTGATTATAATGTACATCACAAAATATGCTATACTTAGAACAGACCTATTGTAAATGACTGAAAAAAATAGATATGGATTTTTCACATTTTCTTCATACATTTATTTATTCTTTTGATATCCTTTATGGTTTCTAGACTTGGTCAACAGGTGGACTTATCACCAGAATCAAATCATACACTTTCCCAAAGCCAGGAACCCAAAAGGTGCAATTAAACACAGTTTTGTTAAGTCCTACCCTACATTTAAAAATTATCTTCATTTTGTTGATTTACAAACCTGTTTGTAGTTTATTCTGCTTCTTGTTGCTAATCTCTGAGCATCTAGCACCTTTCTTCAGCTTTTACTTCTTAATTTATATAATTAACCCATGGCTATTTTATACTTGGGCTTGCATTTTATTTGTTTTGAAATACAACAATGATTTGTTTTATAATAATTATGTTGGTTAGAAAGAAAGTAAATATTTTACAAGCAGGTCTAATTTCTGAAACATCAGGCAGCCTAAATTTACTGGGCTCCCATTGCAATGCATTGTCCTCCTCTGAGAAGTAATTTTAGCTTGACTGGAGTGAGTGTGAGTGCAGGGCTTAATAGACCAACTCCCATCTCAACCACTTAGAGATGCCCAAGAAGAGAACAAACATATTAGATAAGAGCACTGTGATCTTGGCTAGGTTGCTTGGGTGGCCATCAGGAGTAGAAACAGTTACAGAAAAGGTCATTGAATAAGTGCTCAAACCTAAGCTAGCAGTCAGATAGACTGCATGCTCCAGATTCATTAGGAGAAATGCAACTTCCTTCAAAGCTACTTGTGACTTCACCAGGAGATCATGACCCAGACTTTATGAATCCCTTGCCTACATAATTCAAAGCATTACACTAATTTCTGCTACTTACCTCTAAAACTATAATAACTCTGCTGGTGCTATTGAGTGTTTTGAGTGCCATTTTGTAACCTCTTTCAAGGCCTTCCAGCTTCCTAGTCCAATGCAAATTCCTATATGATATACAATAAACAAAATGGTTCATGGATCTCATTGGGCTACAGAAACTCTTCTAATAGAAAAGGGTTAGCAAGATTTTATTAGAGTATTAAATATGTTGATGAGTCTAAAACAAACATAAATATTGTATTTATTCACAGCCTATTATGACAAATGAGTTTTAGGCATTTTACATAAATGTTAGATGTAAAGGAGAGGCCTGATTTACAAAACAGATTTACAAACGCTTGTTTCTTTTCCGATCACAGGGTCATATTCACCTCTTCATAACTAAATAGGGAAAAGTTAATTAATTTTGCCTCTCTCCTTAATTGTGTTAAAGTCTCGTACGAGTAAGTTTCATATTTAAAAGTAATTCTCCAATGTTATCAATCAATTTAGTTCTGTCTTTAGCAATGGGGAACTGAGAGTGTTGAAACTGACAGAACTAAATTAATAACATTAGAGAATTACTTTGTGCTTTGGAGAAGACAGGAACATTAAGTGATCAGTCCTCTTACCTATCTCTGTTTTTCTCTGTTTCTCTTACATTTTTCTAGAACAGGGGTGTCAAACTCGATTTCATTGAGGGCCGCATCAGGGCTGTGTTTGACCTCGGGGGGCTGGGAGGTCATGGCTAGGGGGCATGGCCAGCTCAATGTCACTCATGTTAGGGGCACCTGTGGTGGTCCAAGCACTGTGCCAGTGAAAATGGAGTTCAGGAAGGCTGGGTATGGCCCTCCCGAGCTCCATTTTTGCTGGCAGAGGGCTGCAGGAAGCAGTCACAGCTGAAAATGGAGCTCAGGAGAGCCACACGCACCTTCCCGAGCTCCGTTTTCACTGACAGAGGCACCACGGGCCAGTCCTTCACTGTTTCCAGGGCAGCCCCACAGCCATATCTAAACACCCCTGTTCTAGCAGATATAAGTATTTACATAGTGTATGTACTGTGAAATTCATAGGCATCTATTAATTACTACTGATTCCCTTTAAAAGGTTCAGCACCAGTAACAATTATTTTCCTTTTCTGTGGCATATATAACAAATAAAACTATTTATAAGTGATCTAGTATCAGCAGATTTTATGTTAAAAGCATTTGTAACTGAACTTCCATTCTTTCCTTGAAAAGTGATGCTGAAATAGTACTCAGGATTCCAATTGCCATCATAGAGGCAGCTCTAAATCTATGTTACTTTGTAAATATTTATGAAGTAATACGTTTTATTTATAAACAAGCATATCAGGTTGCTAGTTGTCTTTTTTTTTAAAAAAAGATACTTAAATTGTTTTGCTAGCAATATAATTTCTTTGTAGCTTAGCTTTTTAAATCAAATTTATCTCAAAACCTTCCACTTTCTTGGAATATCAGTTTTTGTGAAACTTCTACAATTTAACTGGAAGCATGTTAAAATTGAATTTACAGATAAAGTGATAAAAACAATTAAAAATATTAGCAAAATGCTGTTATTGCTGTAATATAGAGTTACAACTAGTATATTTCAATCTGTGTGTTATCTATATAGACAACTATCTATTGCATCATGTTTATCCTCATACATCTATATTTATCAGTTTTCTAGTGTTCCAAGCAAGTTTAATGTGTTATTCAGCTTTCCATTTTTATTGACTTGCATTAAAAAAGCATAGATCAATGGTTGGGAAAAGCAATAAGAGATATTTAGAGATAAGTTCATCCAACTGGCCTAAGTTATCCATGTTAGTTTCAAATAATGCTAGACCAGTAGATTACATTTATTTCCCGAATTACTGCTTCAAAGTCCATGCACTTTTGAAGAATAGTTTATAAAATGAAAAATAGCAGTGAAAATATAAAGTATATTAGAAGAAAAACACTGAGCAGTTCTTGTTTCAGGATTCCAAAATAGGGATTCCAAAATAGGATCTATAGTTGTCTAATTGAAATATAAAACTGTTATTTAATTCCTTCTTTAGGAAAGTATTTAAAATATTTGCAGAAATCTTTATGCTTTTGCATTGTAAGTCTTACTTTACTGCCAAATATAAGCAACAAATAACTTTTCAAAAATTTAGGTAAGATTTACTCTCTTTCTTTAACTCCGCTTGCACATTGTTTTTGCTTAATGTTTGTCATGTAATTTTCTTCTTAATGTTGTCCCTCTCTTTGACCCCAAATGATTGAAATAAAAAATATATATCTTTTTATCATAGCCCTCTTTCTCTGTTCGTGGCCAGAGAGATGATTCTGCACTACTTGCAATGTTTAACAATTATGCGCCCTCGTGGGCAAAACGAGGTACGTAATGATATTGTGTCATTTCTGATAATGTCTAAAATACAGCAGTGAAGAAAGTCAAATATTCACAAGTTCAAAGTGCTTATTTATTTCACTACAAGTGAAATCACTTCTTCAGGTCTCACACTGGCCTATGACTTATGCATACTGATTGAGATATATTGGTGCTTTGTAAAACTGTGGACCAGACTTCTCCAATATTTCTCTAACCTGGTGCCCAGAAAAATGCTGGACTTTCGTTTATTTATTTATGCAGTTTATATAGGCATCCAGATATCCAATAAACTCTGGGAAGTGGGTCAGATAAAAGCAAAGAATTCCATTATAGTCCAAAAACATATAAACTGTACAGAGGCCTAACAAAGCTATAAACCCACTAACTGCATATATCCATGACAGAGCTCCAATGCTGATAACTGTGCTATCCTGCGCGCGTGCGCACACACGCACAACTGTGGTTTAGTGGATTTATTAATATTCCCCAACAACTCTCTTCACTAAAACCCAGAACTGTCCTAATTAAGTCCAGCCACAAGTAGACCAAAGCTAGTCCACAGAGTAATGGCCAATGAGTCCACAAGGCATTTGAAAGTTTCTCAATCAAAACAAACTCACAAGGCAAAATTAAATCCACAATACAAGAGTTCTTGTACACAGTTCATGAGGCAAGAAAAGTCCAGAGTTCACAAGGCACAATCCAAGTCAAGGTATGGTGTCAATCCAAAACAAGGCAAGAATCACAGCGACAAGAAAACACACAGCTAGAAAATGAACACGTTGTTCCCAGCATCACTTCCATCTGCCTGCTGTGTTAAAAAGCTAACTTCTGGTGCAACTGATCAAGAAGAGCGAGGCATTCTCCTCGAGAGTAATCTGGCTGACTTTTTCTGCTCCTGCCTTTTCTCTACCCTACGTGTTCTTGGATCAAGTGCAGAAGGCAGTTCCTCTTCCTCATCACTGACTGGCTGCAGCTGCATGTTTTCTCCACCTGAAGCCTAAAGGCTATCCTGCTGCAGGTGTCCTTGAGCTAAATCCCTCTCAGACAACTGCTTGGAGCCATTAACCAACTGCCTTCCAGATGTGCCTGGAACTGGTTCATCTTCCTCTGAACTGACATCTGGAAAGAGATCTGGGGAAGCATTCAGGGAGTCATCACAACAACCCAACCCCAGTTGTATTGGGGTTGGGTTGAATTGTATTGTGGTGGTGGTGGGTACACTGAGGGAGCTAAACTAATCTCATTGCACATATGTTGTGCACTGACAATAAAGATTTGAATCTGAATTTGAATCAGGTCTTCACGACCTTTTGAAAGGGCAGTAATTAGGAGCAGTCATAGCCAACACAGCTAGCCTATTGAATGTTCTGTTCTTACTTTTTGCTAACTGGTATAAAAGCTTTCTTACATTTTGTATCTGGCATTTTCCTTTCCAGTAGAGTCTAAAAGAGACTCTAGCCTCAATATATAATCCAAATAATTTTCTATGGTTATAAATTTATTTGATCAAAAAATGCACTTGCTCTTTAATTTGGAATCTGAGAAAAAGGCCTATCTGTCTTTCTATTCCAAATTATTTTGTAACACTGGTTGGAAACCACACACACACTTTTGTAGTTGTCTTTAATACATGTTCAAACCAGTGAATATCTTTCTCTCTCTCTCTTGAATTAAAAAGTTTGTATGTGGAAATAAAGTCAGCGACATAACAACAGAAAGACCGTAATTGGGATAATATATAACACAAATGTATTTTCAGAAAATTTATCTAAGAAATCCTTGGCTTGTTTGTCAGAAAACAGATAAGTCCAGAGTTTAGGTGCTCTTGATGAAGAGTCCTTTCCTTCTAAGGATTAATGTTGCCTGTTTTCATAAAGTTTGAAACTTTATGTCAGGATTGTCAAACTGAAAGGCAGCCTTGAAAATATCAGAATCTAATCAGAAATGGAGATAGTTTAACTATAAAGGTTGAGTAGCCCTTGTTACTAGACCAGCTTCGGAGTGATGGTGGATTACTGATTTTTTCTTCCATCCATCCAGGAGCTCTCCTATATAAAATGTATAATCTCAATTGTATCAAAGGGCTGCAGGCATTTCCGGACTCGCAGCATCCTACTGAACCTCAGGAGCGCTCGCAACTGCTTGTCTCAAGCAGCACCTTAGACTTTGAGTTTTCTGTGCAGTCTTATACACCATATAGACAAATCTGCTGTGAATACCTGTGTGCTGATATTTAAACCCCCAAAAATGGCCAAATGGAAAGTGGCCTTTGAAAACAGGTGTTTTCAAAACGGGGGAGACAGTGTACCTGTTTGCTGACATTGAAATAAGGCCGTGTGCCTTGTTTGCGGAGCTATTGTGGCTGTATTTAAAGAATATAATGTGAGACGGCACTATGAGACAAAACATCAGGACAATTACAAAAACTTGGACATACACCAGAAGCTAAAGAAGGTGAAAGAGTTGAAAAAGAGTCTGATATCATGGCAGCACATTTCACAAAAGCAAAGTCACAAAGTGAAGCTGCTGTGAAAGCTAGTTTTATAGTGGCACTGTGCTAAACCTTCAGTTTCAGGGATGGGCCCGTGATCACGGACATGTATGATGCAGTGAGAGCCTTTCGAGTAAAGCTGCGACTGTGGAAGACTCAGATGTAGCAAACAAACTTGAGTCACTTTCCCTGTTGCCAAACACTCATCAGCCAAGTCACCACCGCTGTGTTCTCAGATGCTCATTTTGCCGATAAACTGAGCACACTTCAAATGGAGTTTCCACGTTGCTTTGTTGCTTTTGAAGCACAGACATTCAATTTTGGGCTGCTCAGCAATCCATTTACAGTTGACGCCTGTAAGCATGCAGATGGAGCTGATAGAACTCCAATGTAACACCATACTTATGATTCTGTAGGGCCCACACAATTCACAAGGTTCATCCCTGAAACGATTCCCCAACTCCACCTACAAGCTGCTTGAATGCTGTGCATGTTTGGAAGTACATACCTGTGTGAGCAACTTTTCTCTAAAATGAGGGTGAACAAAAGCGCACACAAAAGTGTTCTCACCGATGCAAACCTCCACTCTATCCTGAGAGTTTCCACAGCTCAGAACCTAACTCCAAACATGGATGAACTTGTAGCCAATAAAAGATGCTAAGCATCCGGCTCGGACAAAACAGCATGAGAGACAGAGAGAACTAAAAAACTTACGTTTTTTCTTTGTTTTAAATTTGTTTTTGCAGATATATTTGAAATATTTGTTCATATTTGAAATGTTAATCCTGTTCGTCCCACGTTAATACACTCCTGAACTAATATGATACAATCAACAATTACATGCAACTGGCCCTTTGAGGGCAACCATAATGCTGATGCAGTGAAATTTTGCAGGAAGCAGTTTCCTCCAAGTCCAACCTCAGCCTTGAAAGATCTCTGGAGTGGAATGGAGTGGAGAGCTGCCATAGAGAGAAGGAGGGGATGGTGGGAGAGCAGCATGAGGGAAAGCTGTCCCAACAAGCTAGCACTCTGACCACTCATAATTGGAAACAGGGATTCCCTTTCAAGAAGGGCCAGTCTCCCTCATGCAGGACCAGAGAGCACTGCTTCCCTGCCGCCTCCTCTTGTTCTCCAGAGATCTGTCAAGGCAGAAGTTGGACTCGGAGGAAACTGCTTCCTGCAAACTTTCTCCTCTATGTTTCTACACACAGCAGTGGTGTCCTCCGCCTCCTCCTTTGCTGGGAGGGTGCACCAGACAGGCAAATGCCAATGGTGTCTTGGATTGGGAGAAGAACATCTCCTTTGGAATGCTGTGCACGTGCGCACACACACACAAACACCATTTCAAGCTTGGAGACTTTTATCCACATCGGAGCATACAAACTGCCAATCATGCCTGGGCTTAGGAAGAAGGCCTTCTCCTTCCTATGTGGATAAAAGTCCCCAAACCTGGAATGCACTTGGCTGCCAGCAATTTGGGGAGGCGAGGAACTTTGTGTGGCATCAAAGTGTCCCCACATCAAGTTAGCTGGTATGACTTTTTCCATCCCAACCCAACCATCGTGAGTCAGCCACGCCCAGTGAGCGGCATCAAGCTGGCCATGCCCATCCAGTCAGTCACGCCCAGTGAGCAGCGTCAAACTGGCCACACCTACCCAGTCAGCCATGCCCACCCAGCCGCCTAAATCAACCACAGCCCTGATGCAGCCCTCAATGAAATCGAGTTTGACACCCCTGCTGTATGTGATTCATTAAGATGTACAAAAGCAAATGAGAACCTTATGCATAAAATAGCATAGTAATAAAAGCATTATAGTTCAATACCAAAGTTCAAACTAAAATATAATTATGATTGTTTGAAAAGATGTGTCTCATTTTGAGCTAATATTATAAAGTTAATATTTTAAATTCAATCAGTAAGGACAGATTACAAAGGAGTGTTGTAATAAAATAAGATATGCTGTTCATTTAACAGGTGAACAAAGGGAACCTTTGCCTATGGATACAGAAGTTTATGAAAGTCCATATGCAGATCCAGAAGAAGTAAAAGCTAAAAATGTCACCCTTGACCGAAATTTACTGACTTTGGAAGAAAAAGAACTTGGTTCTGGTAATTTTGGTACTGTAAAAAAAGGCACTTATGAAATGAAAAAGTAGGTTATTGTTCCTCATCTTTATGCTTTTAGTATCCTTTTCTTTATTTGATTTTGATACTGTTATTACAGTAATTATTAGAAAAAAATTGTATGAGACCCTTTAACAGAATTAAAAGTTAACTCGGTTCAATTAAATGAATATTGTTCATTTGCTATAGCCTTCCAAAACACTTGATAATTTAAAATGAATAGAGAGTTGTTCCCATAAAACAATAGTACATTGCTTTAACTACATTAACTCTCAAGTCACAGATATTTGCACTGGATTCCAGTTGTATAACAAAAATCTAGCATGTTACTTTTAAACCAAAGACGCTATTATCTCCTAGCTCAGTCAGAAGCCCCCTTAAGTTCAATAATTGCCTACCGAATTTCAGTTGAATCTTCCTTATGAATATGGATATAATTGTATCTTTAAAATTCAGTTTTCTGTATGTTTACAACTGAATCTTTAAAATTCAGTTTTCTGTATGTTAAAATTTTATTTTATTTTATTATTTATGATTATTTATTTTTTGTAACAAAACAATTTAATTTGAAAAAAAGTACAAACTAAAAATTTTTTTAATACTTTATACTTATCAATAGTCACTGATTTACCAATGAATTCACTACTATAACATTAATAGTTCAAAATATTATTGTAAGATATCACAGAACCTGTGCTATATTGTTGCATCCTTTGATTGGTAGAAAATAATCTCTTTTGCATTTTTCAAAACAGATTGGTCACACATTTCTGACAACCATTCTTTGACAGATTCCAATTTCTTAATATAATTGTTTTGCAACCCATCACCACCCCCATGCTCAATACAAGCACAATTCTTGATAAACAGCCAAATTCCAAAGCTTCAACATGATATTAACATATTTTTAACATTTAAAGATGTTCCCATAAATCTATTAATATGCACTAATTCACTATCCCCCAAAAGATACTAAATGATCACCTTACCATATAATATAAGTCAATATGGGTCAAATACTATATCATATGGATCAAAAATCGCATTGGGCCAAGATTTTACCAAGCCACCTCTTGGTAAAATGAAAATATAGTCAAATATTATCTCTTATAAGTTTGGCAATTATTAACTATTTCCTTTGTGCTATTTTCCATGGCAAGTTCTTGAAACAACATGTGGTAGGAAAAATTTCTAGGAGAACTAATGGTGAGAAATCTATGAGCCATTTTAGGATGTAAATTGAGTTGTGATAGGGACTCAAGAATATCTAACCCCATGGGAAAATTCTATTTTGGTAAATTATTTAATTGGAAAGCTAAGGTACAAGCTGGGTCATGATTTTAAATCAACTATGATATAATGACTAGTTTAAGGATTTTCTCCAACTTCAAATTGAATTTTGGTTTCTCAGTTTGTAGTAGTGGAAGTGTCTTCAGCTTAAGTGTGTTTTAAGGGATCAATATGGACCAGATGCTTTGGTTGCCTCAAAGGCAGCTGAGTTGCTTTCTTGTAGTGTAGTGGAATCCATTACACTATAACATACTGTACCTCAGTGGTGGGTTGCTACCGGTTCTCCCCAGTTCGGGTTAGCCAGTAGTGGAGATGGTGAGGTGAGAGTGAACTGGTTCGCTCTGTCCGTCAGTTGGGCCTTTCCGCCCGCCCCTTCGCTATACTTACCTATATTTGTTCATTTTTAGCCCAGCTGATAGGCGTGGCAGAGTGGATTGCCATGCCTCAGCTGTTCTGAAATTCAATGCACTTGCGCAAAGCGCGCACAAAGCATATGCATAAAGTGAACTAGTGGTAACACCAGTTGAAACCGACCACTGCTGTACTTCTATAAAAGGGCACGAAAAATTTGGACGTGGACTCTTCTGTGATACTTCAAAGATAGACTAAAGAATTGGAATTTCTGATAAAGCCACAGTAATGGCTTCATGAATGTTATCTACAGATTTGAAATTAAGGCTAATTCTGTTTGAAAAATGTCAACAGAGCAAAGCAAGCAAAATTTATTTTAGGACAGAAATAGACCACCTCATTTCCAGCCATCTACCATTCTCCAAAGCTTAACATAATTATGTTTTCCTGGAATTCCTGTTACAGAGGAAAGAAAATTGTGGCTGTGAAAATTCTCAAAAATGAAAGTAATGATCCAGCAGTAAAAGATGAACTCCTAAGAGAAGCTAATGTAATGCAACAACTTGATAACCCATATATTGTCCGAATGATTGGCATATGTGAAGCTGAATCTTGGATGCTGGTAATGGAAATGGCTGAGCTTGGCCCCTTGAATAAATATCTGCTAAAACATGGGTGAGTTGACATTAAGCTGGCAGGCTTTGACCAATAATGGATGGAATCTAAAATGACCACTGTTCATTGAAAAGTGTAGGTTATATGAAAATAACAGCTTTTGTAATATCCAACGAATTGCTGAAATTGGTATTGTTTGAATACTTCAAAAGGAAACATTTTCATAACAGTGACATTTTCAAAATTAACATTTTCTTCTTCAATTTACTTTGAAGGCATATATGCAGCTTGTGTCATACTGCTTATTTTCACTACAAGTGAATTTACTGAATACAAATATACATAGCTATGCTGTATTCATATAAAGCAGTGGTTCTCAACCAGGTCACGGCCCCTTTGGGGGTCGAACGACCCTTTCACAGGGGTCGCCTAAGACCATCGGAAAACACATATTTTCAATGGTTCTAGGAATAATTTTATGGTTGGGGGTCACCACAACATGAGGAACTGTATTAAAGGGTCATGGCATTAGGAAGGTTGAGAACCACTGATATAAAGGATGATATATTTTGACTTGCCATCCATGCTTACCTGAATTCATGGCTACAATTTTGCTGGATTTAGTATTCCACAGGTACATTTACAGAGCATGGAAGTCACTGCAATGTAGAAAAGTGACAAATGTAAATGATTGAGTCTGTTCAGGTCAGAGATGAGGAACAATGGGCCCATTATGACTTGTGGATTTCAATTCCCAAAATTCCTGAGCCAGCCATCCTGGCTCAGGAATTCTGGAAGTTGAAGTCCACAGGTCATAAAAGAGTCCTAGTTCCTCACCCCTGGTCTATACCATCATCATGCTTCTTAATTATCTCATATTAATTGTGATATTGATCCAGTATATATTCTTGTTTGGACAAGCCAGTACAATTCTGGGAGTTGAAGTCCACAAGTCATAAAAGGGCCTTCGTTCTCCACCACTGGTTTGGATGAACCTTTGATTTCTGCAAGGTCTACTTTCCAGAAAATCTCTATTTAATGATTGGCATTTGCTTGTAAATCAACCTAAGTCAAGCTTTTTAGGCCACATTCCATTTGGCCTATTAGAATCTAACATTTGTCCTGTTAGAATCAGGACAAAGAAATAAGCAAATAGCAAGAAAATATTAATTTTATTCTAATTTATATGTAATTTAAAAGATTAATTCAACTAGTATATTTATTTCCTGTATTAATAATAATAATAAGCACCTGTCAAATTATAATTATTTCACATTAAAATTTATAATTGACAATTTTTGAAAGTTTCTGAGACTGTACAAGATGGAGGGGGAAATACTCTGTTCTAGACTATTTGGATGTTACATGGATATAATAAAAATTTAGCAATAATGTACGGAAAAAATGAATGCATAATGTGTTCTCTAAGCAATAAAGTTGGAATATTTATTCAATATATTATTAGCATCCACTTTCTACTGCGTGGGAGTGAGGAATGAAGAATATAAAAAGAAATAGGTTTCTAAAAGTTTGGTTTGATTTTGCAGAGATGTCACGGAAAAGAATCTAATAGAGTTGGTGCATCAAGTTTCCATGGGAATGAAATATTTGGAAGAAAATAATTTTGTACATAGAGATTTAGCTGCAAGAAATGTGCTTCTGGTTACACAACATTATGCCAAAATCAGTGACTTTGGACTTTCAAAAGCTCTTGGCTCTAATGATTATTACAAGGTAATTTTTCCATCCTTTAACATGTTTTAAAATTTTTATCACCAAATGTCAATGTGAATTGTGGCGTCACTATAATTCAGCTTTTGCTCAACCTTATGCCTTGCACAAATTTTCAACAAATAATTATGGTTCATTGAACAATTACAATGGAACATGTTTTCTGATTCTTTTATAGATTGTGGTTGATAGATATAATATACTAATATATTTTATTGTTTTCTTCAATTTTGGGTGTCATTACAGGCAGAACATCATGGCAAGTGGCCAGTTAAATGGTATGCTCCAGAATGCATGAACTTCTTCAAATTTTCTAGCAAGAGTGATGTTTGGAGTTTTGGTGTGTTAATGTGGGAGACATTTTCCTATGGGCAAAAGCCATATAAGGTAAATAAACTTTCTTTACCATTATTAAACTTTCCTTTTTAATTCCAAATCATAGATTTAAAAAATAAACCAAGATGGAGATGCTATTCAAATGTCCATTGCGACACATCTTTGTGACAAAATATTTCAGAAATTGTGATATTCTTATTTCAGTCGAAGCCAACATTGTCTCAGTTTTCTGTGTCACTCGGTTGTAGGGTCTGAAAGGACTTGACGTTGCTCAGATGATTGAAAGAGGAGAACGATTGGAATGTCCAGTGGGTTGCTCGTCTGATATCTATAAATTAATGAAATTGTGTTGGACATATAAGTAAGTATTTTCATATCAATATTTCTTGGAGCTTATCAGGCTCATTGACAATAGTTAAATATTCCATTGAAACCAGCATATAGGGCAGGGGTCTCCAACCTTGGCAACTTTAAGCCCGGAGGACTTCAACTCCCAGAATTCTCCAGCTCCAACCTTGGCCACTTTAAGCCTGGAGGACTTCAACTCCCAGAATTCTCCAGCCAGTTGGCTAGAGAATTCTGGGAGTTGGTCCTCCAGGCTTAAAGTGGCCAAGGTTGGAGACCCTAATATAGAGTCATTCTTTGCCCCTCAGTTTGGAATTCTTTAGCAAATGAGAAGTGATACATCTCATTTTTCATGCGTCACAACATACCGTATTTTTCTGTGTATAAGACACTACTTTTTCCTTAACATGTTTACTTGAAAATTGAGGTGCGTCTTATACACAGGAGGCCAAGGAGAATTCCACACATGCCGGATGAGCCTCTATCTTATATGCAGCTCTATCATTCCTCTCTATTGTAGTTGTTTCCTGTATCACATTGGTTTCACTCTAGGTTTCATCTCTATTGTTCCTGTGATGCATTTCTTGTTCTTGTTGTATTACTCACTCTAACAAGTTGGCTTCTTTACAGCTATGGCTTATAGCGTGCTTACTACAAGAAACTACATGAAACACGGGGGCGTCTTATACATGGGGGCATCTTATACTCAGAAAAATACAGTAAATACCATGATTTGATCTCTTGGTCCTGACTTTTTGACCCATTCTCTGTTTCCACCTCCACCCTGCAGATAACCTTCTTTTGGAACTATTTGATAGTATTGGTAGGTAAGAAGATGAAAGAAAAATACAGATCATAACTTTGCCTAGATTTGTGGTCCTTTCCAGTGTTTCCAAAATGTCATTTCACAATGCAGTATTTTATTGGCTGCTTCTTGCTAAGTCCTGAGAAACCACTATTAGATTATCTGATAAGGATAGCAGTTATACAATAAGCTGTTCTGAAGCAAGAGAAAGTGCTGGTAAATGTTGTTGTTAAAGAGATAATATATTGACTGAAAATTGCCAGACAAATAATAAAGAGTCTGCTTGGCTACAAAAATATTTTCCTTTTTTCTTCCAGTGTTGATGATCGGCCATCATTTTTTACTGTTGAATTAAAGCTACGCAACTACTACTATGACATTGCTCAATAAGTATACTGTGGAATTGCAATGAAGACGTCCCAAGAGGCAGATACAAAAGTTGACTTTTCAAATAAGTTGCAGAAGTATCAAAATGCACTCCAGAAGAATCATTGTGAAAAGACCATTGCAGTAGAATTACCTTGCTACTTTTAAAAACTTGCTAGTTTCTACAGTAATATTTTTAAAGTGAGCTTATTTGATGTTCAAGGATGTGGCATTAGTTATACTTGCTTAAGTCTACTTTAAAAATGGGTTTTGTCCAGTTGTTTCTGTCTTGCTGTTCAAATGAACCATCTTTTATGATATCAAAAGAACATTTCTATTTTCATCATTATTGCTGTTAAGAGAATTGGATACTTTCACTTTTGAAAACTCAAAGCAGAGATTGGTTTTAAATTAGAAATGAGCCAATAAGGTTAGAAATAATAGATCATAGCTTTAAAACATATGGCATATATGTGCAAAACAAAACCTATATCCCTACCTCTGTCTTGATATTTATTATTTGGAAAAAATATAAATGTCTATAAACAAAATTAGCAAATTGTTTCATATAGTAATAACAGATCCCTATTGTTTTAATCTTTAAATTTAATAATAAAAGTAAAAAAATAAGTATAAGTATAGATGAACTAACAGTGCTTAACCTCAGTCTGTTGCATCATATAATCATGACCCTGATAGGCTCTGGGAACCCCATTTATTTAGGTCTACTCTATATTAAACCTTAATTGTTTAGTTAGGGGTCATTGAGTAAGGCTTATTTCCTGGGATATTGCTCAGTATTTCAATTTATTTCCAACAATAGCCCATAACTCTTCCTAAGACAATCATGCAAAATTCTCTTTTATCCTCTCCTTCTACCTTAACCTTTATCCCCCCTTTCTTCCTTTTGTCCAACTTGACAAAGTTTGTATGTTTTATGCTATGATCAACTCACCTTACATGTTCAAAGTTTGTGAATTTCACCTTATTAATTGTTGCTTCAAAAGACAGTGAGCCTTTACGTGGTCCAGGACTGAATAATCATTTTTGCCAGATATTCTTACTGTCTTTAGATCCATCATCTGAACTTCATTCTTTCATTCTTTTTCAGTATCGATATACAGTATATTATTGGAAAGATCATTGCTTTAACTATTCTGTTCATTATTGTCATCAAATATTCTCTTGTAAAATATCCTTCAGTGAGGGTGTTTACCCAGTCTAACAATAATACAAACATATTCTAGCAACTTCTTTATACTACGTGTTCCCATAACGTCTTCATCTTGCTCCCAGCCCACTGATGAGACAGGCTTAAATTGTTCTCATCCATTATCAAAGCAATGCTTTCTCTCTTATAGGGAGAGGAACTCCTTAGTTATCCCAAAGTGTGTAAAATCTTAGATGCTTCATGGACTATTCTGTCAGCAGCAGAGTCAGGTGACTTCTAGAGGGTAGGATCAGCTTCAAGTTACTGCAGTTACACATTTCTCTTCAGTACCTTCTGTCACCATTTTCTTTTCTTAGCCTTTGGCAGAAAGCACTGGGCATAATTGCTCCAGACCCAGCAATTTCATCAAGAACTTAACAAATTGTGAAGGTTCTCCAGATCCAGGAATGGGATTGGCGATGGGACAATACATTTTATGGCAGTATTGATTTCTGCTGATTCAAACATAGCCACTTGAATTAGGCTTTAGGGAAGGGCCATCTTTGCCACAGCATTTATCTCTAAGATGAATGTCTTCTTTACTCATTATTTTTACTTTACTTTGTGAGCCCAAAAGCTGATTTACCATCTACCATCTTCATGACCAACTGTAAGCTCATGATATTAGCTTGTGATCATGAGGTGATGTTATTTATGAGGTGACTAGAAATCCTTCCACAGCTGATGACCAAGATGCTTTGATAACAAACATCTGCAAGTAACCAAAGCTTTCTCAGCTCAGGCATAGAGAAACTGTTACTGAACTGATTCATATAATAAGAGTTTCTATTTCTGCATTACTGGGCAATAATACTATTCTTTGTGCTTTTTGTATTTGCTGTAATATAGAGCTATCAGAAAAAGAACTGGAATGTTCATGCCTTAGCATCTGAATTTAAGTTTCTTGAAATGTTTCTACTAAACAGCCTTATTCTCAGAACAATATCAAGTGTTCAGACAGTAGGGTATATCCAACTATGCATGTTTCCCCTGTTAGCTTAACATCTGGCAGTGAAATATATTCTTCTACTAGTGTTCTATTCAAGGATGCTGCAGAAGATTGCAGCCACTTGTGGGTATTACAAGGAGAATAAAGGCAAATTCTTTTTCCATGTGCTTACAGAATATAAGTGTAATTTTAGATATCCCCTATTATCTTATTTAGACAGCCAGTTTGGTGTAATGGTTAAGGCACCTGGCTAGAAAAGAGGAGACAATGTGCATGAAGCCAGCTGGTTTACCTTGGGCTAATCACTCTCTTCAACCCTAGGAAGAAAGGAAGAACAAACCACTTCTAAAAAAAAACCTTGCCAAGGAAACTGCAGGGACTTGTCCAGGTAGTCTCTGAGAATCAGACAGGATTAAATGGAAGAAAAAAATACACACCTTAGTTTGTAACTATCTTACATTTATGTAATCCTGCATTTTTTTCCTTATCACAGAAAGTCCACTAAAAAGGGAGACTTTGGTTAACACCACAAAACGTTTGATTGATAGTATTATCAAACTTTTTTTAAAGCATTATTATTGGCTGAGAATTTAATTATTTATGTATTGCTTATGATGAATAAGTCCCTAAAGAACTCTTGATCTTTTCTGTATGTTTTTTAAAATGTTATTAGTTTTTAATTTTATCCCTGAAGACATGTGGTATATGTAGCCATACATCCTATTATGAAGATTTAAGAACTATGGTAATAGAAACTAAATTATGCAATAGAAATGTATATTATTTTAAATAACTGGACATAAAACATTTTCACTTTAATTTATTTTAAAATCTCTTTAGGCATATAGTAAAATATTTGGTAATAATAGAATTGAATAGCTAAAACTTAATTCATATCATAATCATATAAGTTTATTTGTCAAGCATATATAAGATAACAGGTAAAAGTATAAACATAATTTGAATACATGAAAAGAATAAGTAACAAATTATCATTTGTTAATTTTATATACTTTCACAAGATCTTATTTTATCTGTTTCTATGGTAAATATATTTGTAAGGAGGCAGATGAATTCAAACCCACCTGCGTATAACAGATATCGTCATAGTAATAAGATGAATGTATCTATTTAAAAATCCTAATGCATTTCCTGAATGAGAAATAATACGTGTAGCTTAAATAAAGATTTCCCATCTTTGATTAGACATCAATTGTCACAATCTGTCAACAACAGATTGTCACAACCGTCAACAATACAGACTTTTTAAAAGTTGATGTACCTATCAAAATTGAAGGTGAGACCTTTGAATATCTTTCTTACCTATTTTAAACACCTTAAAACATTGTTTCTCTTGTTTGTAATAAACCATTGGAAATAAATGTGTGGCTGACAAGGGTGACCAAAGCCACGGAAAGACAGTTTACTGACTATACATAGTTTATACAAAACAAAACTCCTCTTCATTTAAGTCTATATACCTTGAATTCCATGGAGCTTCCAAACATACTTACAAGGATTGTTTTTTAATTGCCTCTTTAGACCTCTTTGTGGGTTGAAGGAAAAATGAGCTTCCATTTCTAGAAATGATTCAATAGGGAAACAATACAACTCCCTTTATTTTGACTTTATTGCCAGAGGGGAAAAAAGAAACATAGCAAATAAACATTTAGAATCTCATCACCAACTACTTACTGGAATGCTTTCTGAGAGGCTTTCAATGTAAATGTGTACAAAAGAGAGTGCTGCTATAATCTTTCCCTTATCTCTCTTGAATGTAGAGGATTAGTTCTTTTGACACATAAAACTTTTGTATAAAGAATGTCTGTGAAATGTGAGAAAATTAAAAAAACCAGCCAAAATAAAGGATACATCGAAATGCAATGACATTTAAACCTTGATATTTTAAATAAAAGGTGTCATTGTATGCATTTTTAAAATATTTTTTTAAAATTATGTTCTGTTTTTATCATCCACAAATGAATAGAATGTTTTTGTCACCTTATTTCCACTGTCTGCAGTTTTCAAAATTAAATTTGTGTTTGCCTAGTTTTTTTCTAAATAGCTGCCTTTCTCTATCTACAACTTCAGTTTTTGTATGAAGTGCATTGTATATTAAAAGATATTTTACAGATGGCAATGGACTTCTTTTACAAACATTCAACATTTGTATGGTGGTTACAATTCAGCCTGTAGCTTGTGCTTGTTACTCTCTAGGGCTAGCATGGCCAACTACTCTTTCATTGTTATAAATATTGATTAGCAGAGATCTCCAAAGATTTCTGGAGGTGGTTTTTTTTTTTTTATCCCAACCTTACTGCAGATTTCAGGAAAACGGGGGGATTTCTGCAACCAAAAGATATACTAAGGTATATTTGAATGAGGGGTCCTTGGTGCTTTCTGAGCTTGCTTATTTTCTTGCAGATGTTTAATTATCCTAACTAATAGGATAGCAATAAGGACTGCTGTTTGCTGTCAGTTTATATTCTGTCTGTCTTGCCTACTGGGTGGGTGGGGGCAGTCTTAGGGATTCTTTGGTTGGGCTGTTTACTGATGGTTCTTTGGCAGTTTCTTTTTTTCTCTCTCACTCTCTTCTGCTCTTTGGCAGTTTCTTGATTGGGGTATTCCTTACTTGATTGTTGGTATGAAGTTAACCTTGGAGTTAATCTATGCTGATCTGAGTGCTGATTACTGATGGAGACGTGCTGGAATCTTGGGTTGGTTGATTGTCTCTTTTCCATAGTCTATATACCATAGTTTTTGAAGTATAAGACTCACTTTCCCCCCCTAAAAGAGGGTGAAAATTTGGGTGAATGTAGCTCCGCCCATAAGGCTAAAAACGTGAGGCACAGAGGTAGCAATGGTCTGTGGCAATCCCTGCAGCCTGGAACAGCTGAGTGGGGCTATTCTGGGAGGCCGATCCACCTGCCAATAAGCTGCTCGTGCTGAATCAGGCTGCAATAATGTGCTGAAGCTGACCTGGCTGTTCGCTATTTGCTGCAAGGATGTGTCAGAGTTTGCAGCAGCAATCACATCCAGAAACACAAGCAGAGGAGAGGAGTTTCAGTTTTAGGTTCAGAGCAGCATGCAGCTTTAGTACAGAACAGTTGAGCTAAGCCACGCCACGCCCAGGCTCCTTGCTGTCTCCTTGCTGCTCACACAGAAAATACTGCTTCAGTTTCCAAACAGCCCTCAACTCTCTCACACACTGACAGGACGCTAGCCAGATGAAGACCAATGGATGCTGATAGTCAGAGGCAGATTTTTTTTTTCTTATTTTCCTCCCCAAAAACTAAGGTGTGTTTTATATTCTGAAAAATACGGTATATTGTTAATATCTAGACAGACAGACAAGACACCAGTAATCAGCACTCAGATCAGCATAGATTAACTCCAAGGTTAACATCATACCAACAACCAAGTAAAGAATACCCCAATCAAGAAACTGCCAAAGAGCCATCAGTAAACAGCCCAACCAAAGAATCTCTATGACCGCTCCCAACCCCACAGACAGAATATAAACTGACAACAAACAGCACTCCTTACTAGCACTGATGATGTTTCCTAGTTAGGGTAATGAAAGTTGTGCAAGAAAACAAGCAATACACCAATAAAGGAGAATATTTGTATCTTAAGGTTGAAATGAAAGGTCCTTGGTGCTCACAGCACCAAGGACCCTTCATTTCAACCCTAAGTTACAAATATTTTCCTTTATTGGTATATTTCAATCTCAATTCCAATGACTGGCAACAGTGTTTCAAGATGATCAAATATTTGTGTCTCTTGTAGTTCATGCAGTTCTCTCAAATAGTTCATTGGGTGATCTGCAGACGCTATCTCTTTCAACTCACTTATTTTCGGAAGGAATAGGGAAACTTCTGCCATGCAGAAGCTTCAGGAGAAAACCTTGCATATAATATACAACCAATGTAATTGTTACCATGTCCTTCCCATACCAGCCCAAGAAAGTAAGACATGCCTTTGACCAGCAGGTGTCAGTATTTGAATAGATTTTGCTCGTTTTTTTGTTCTAGTTTTCATTTTAGTGAGTAGCATGCAGTCCTTTCAACAACATCATTATTCTGAAATCATGAAAAGTAAATTTTGTGCATGTAGCGCATAGGAAACGTATGCATGTCTCAGTGAAAAGTATATCCTGCCTGAATTGAAATATTTTTAAATTTAGCCTGGCTCAGTTTTAGATAGATGACCTTTATTGTCCTTTTTTTTTTTTACTGTAGGCACACTGGAACACATTGAAAATAAATTTCTGTTCCCTGCTCTCAAAAGACTACAAATACATAACACATATATACACATGAGATTAGATAGATAGATGATAGATAGATAGATAGATAGATAGATAGATAGATAGATAGATGATAGACACACATATACATATAAATATACACGCATATACACACACACATAGATGGATTTTATATATATATATAAATCCTGCTTTCTAGTGAATCTAAATCACGTGACACAGCTAATCCCCCCCCCACTGTTCTACTTACCTTCCCAAGCCTCCTTTTGGTGTGCACTGCGCATGCACGTGTGTTTGACACATGTTTGGTGTTCACAGTGCATGCTTGGGTTGATACTATATGGAACAGAACAAAATCGAATCTGCTTCGGATACCACAAAGCCTCCTCCCAGATGGTAACAAGGAAAACAGGTCATGAAGAGGATGCGTAGTGTCCCAGACCCTGGTCAAGCAGACCCTGGTCAAGCATCACTTACATGCTATGTCCTGCCTAAATGGAAGTGAACTGCCAATAATCTTCTCTGCCATCCATTCAGTTTAAGTAACTGAACGTTGCCTTACAGATACACCGAGAAAATAAATCTCAAGAAATCTACAGATAGTTTTAACATTCAGATAGCCATAAGATATTTTCATTTGGTTTTCACTTATGTTGTATGGACTCAACCATTATGGTTTTTAATGTTTTAATATAATACAATATCTAACGAATTGGGTTCTATTAACACCTACCGTTAATTTAATGGAAAATTCAAAGCCAAATTCAGATAAATACACTTCCCAAATACTTTGCCTTTCAGGCCAGTTCAGCCATGTCAGTGGGAAAGAGCCAGGCTGGCAGAAGAAAAGCAACACTTCACTTAAGTTCTTTATGCTTTCTTACCCTATTAGAATAACAGGATTCAGTTCTAGTAACTCATCATTTAAACTATTCCTCTTATCCTCATCTTGCTGCTTATATTGCTTGGTGCTTTGTTTTTTAACATTTTTTTTTATGAATTTGTCATTAATTTATATGCCACGCATCTCACTACCCAAAGTGATTCTGAGCAGCTTACAATACAATAAAACACAAATATAAAAACAGTTAAAATTACAAGAGTTAAATAAAAACTAAAAACACCCACCACCTCCAGCATAAAAAGCCAAATCAGAGCCAAGTTTTGAGGCTGTTCTGGAAGACCAGAAGACTGGGGATGGATCTCATTCCAGCAACAAGATGTTTCAAAAGGCAGGAGCCATGGCAGAAAAGGCTCTTCTCCTAGACCTGGCCAGCTGAGAAACAGGGTCTGTAGCAGTGGTCGTATTCTGCCAGTTCTAACCGGTTCAGGCGAACCCGTAGCGGTGGTGGCAGGAGGCTCCGCCCACCCACCCGGACGTCATCATATTGCATTTTTGACACTCTGAGCATACGCAGAAGGTCTTGCGCATGCATGGAGGTGGTGTGTGCAAGTAAAGCGAGTGCACGAGCGCACGCGCTCACATTTGCAAACCGGTAGCAAAGGTAAGTAAATACCACCACTGGTCCGTAGCAAGTCACTTCTGCCACAACGAGTTGGGCAGGTCAATCCCATTGGGGCTGATAATTTATTAAGTATCAACAGTGGGAGAGCAGGAATACCAAAATGCCTGGCAGGCATAAGAAAAGCCTTGCAATGTATTAATTTATTTAAAATACCATATTTGCTTTTCTATATAAAAGGTCTTTAAAGAAGTAGTGAGATAACTATTTGATGGGAAATATGCCCTGAAAGACGTATGAAAAGGTGTCCAGAAGATCTGTTTCCTGCACAGCTCAGCTTCTCAAGAACCTTCCCCCAAAATAGGAGGTTGGAGAATGGGCAATAGTTGTCCAAAATTGCAAGGAAGAATGATGGTTTCTTGAGGAGCAAGTGTACCACTGCCTCTTTCAAGGCAAGTTATATCTGCACTCCTAAGGATACCATCACCATTGCCTTGATCCAGCCTCCTGTTACCTCTCTAGAGCTTTCACCAACTAAGAAGACCAGGGATCCAGGCTGCTGGAGGCAGGACTGATATTGCAGATAATGTTTTTCATGTCTTTGGAGATTCTCAGTCATCCAGATCATGGTTGTCCCAAAGGTGCTTTTTCAAAAGGCAAGTTGTCTTCCTTTGTTTTTCTTTGAAGATGTTTCACTCCTCATCCAAGAAGCTCCTTCAGTTCTGAAGTTCAGTTCAGAACTGAAGAAGCTTCTTGGATGAGAAGTTAAACATCTTCAAGGAAAAACAAAGAAAGATCACTTGCCTTTTGAAAAAGCACCTTTGGGATAACGTTCTTTATTTCCTCTGGACCAACACTCAAATTTCCTCCAAATAACCTCATGAGATTATGAGATCTCCATAAGACTTGTCCAGCTGCATCCAACTCAAAATGAACCTGAGCAATTTTATCTTTAGCTACCAAGCAATTGCTTTCAGACAGTTTTATGCACATATTTTTCAATATAAGTAGTACTACCTCTTCAATTGCTTCCATTTACATATGGTTCACATATGGATACATTGAGTGTATAGCTCAGGATTAGCCACTATTAACCATTATATATTAACCATACAACTCAAAAATCTTAGACAAGAAACATAAGAAGACCAGGATCTCCACTTAGGAATGCACTCTAAGATCTTTGATAAATTTCAACAATGGAATGCAGATATGAGTTTTAATGCTGTAAGCACAATGTAGGAAAATGCAATTTTAGGAAACAAAAGGGAAAATCCACAGCCACTAGCATGTGTCAATCACTATATTTGTTCAGTGTTGACTCAATAGACAAAATATTCATTTGTTACCTAAAACAAAATTCTCCAGTTGTCTCTTGTGTTTTAAGAAATCCTTCC